TAAGGGCGCAGCTTCCTGATATAATTTTGTTTATGGCAAAGAGTCAGCAGGCATTAATTAAAGAAGTTTTTATATTCTGTCTTCTTATTCATGTAATAACATTAGATTATGAGCAAAAGAAGTGGGCGCCAACTTATTGAATTTGAGCCTGTTGTTGCTATATTTATAGACAGTCAGATATTGGTCTGGACATACTGCAACCATCACCTGCATCTGATTTTGCTATTGCCGATGGCTTGCTGTCACCATGCACTTTTCTGGATTTTTATGTACAGACACAGACACATGTCTGTACATAAAACTGTCACCTGCGTTTGTCAACCCTGTCGTCGTCGCCATCCACTTTCAGTGTTATAAGGTCTGATACATAGGTCAAGTTCAAAAATTAGCTTGATTAGTTTACATTTGTTGAAGTTAAGCTGTTATTTGTATACAAGTGGGTTTTCCTCAGATTCAATTCTTAAGCATGTTAATATGCCTTTAAGTGTATCTTAACAATTATGTAAAAATGATTGTAAATATGTTATTGTGTAATGTGTAATAAAGTGTCAAAAATAGAAATGAACTCAAATCAGTGCAGTTTGTCATATTCAATCCCTCACTATGTTCAGAATCTCAGAATGGAGCAAATTGGACCTTTAAAATTGTTCAATTGATATTTTCACCATGTTAACAATTTTATATGATCATTTAAAAATGAAAGTAAATTGGTTATTGTGTATTATGTAATTAGAGTTGAAAGTGAAAATAACACATTTCAGTACTTGTGTACATATTGGCATTTTTAAGGTGTGACTTTGAATTTCCATGGGCCTGGAGGCCTTTGCTGGTCACATTCTCTAAATATCTATGTTACCTGCAGTGCACAGTTTTAAATTGATGGTGATTATAAACTGCAAAGCATTATGTAACATTGCATCAAAATTGATAAAAAATATTTTGTGTACTGCCACTACAAATGCTCTAAGTGCTACGGTAATTCTCCAATCTATACGAACGCCGCAATAATTACGAACGAAACGTTTTTTCTCTGAATCTGAATTTTTTTTCTCCGTTCTGTACGAACGATCGCTAAACTCACCTTGGGCACAATTTAAATTTTCCGAACGCAAGAAAGTGTGCCCAATTGAAACTCGCCCCATGATTCGTCAAAGCGAGTTTTCAGACCACCGTTCCAAACAAAGGAACTGCCACTTGACAGGAGAGATTGTTATCATGTATTTGTGCTGTTTTTGAATGAGACGATAGAAGGACTCAACCTGCCCGCCGGCAGCTGCAGGCCAGTTTTAAAACCCTATTGTTATTTAGAAATTATTGAAAGCATCAGTACACATAAATTACTTACTGTTTATTATCATTTCTTAACTTCTGCCGGCCGACTGGTCATCAACATCCACCATCGGTGTTTCACCGATAACTGGTTTCCAGTAAAATCTATAAACGTGAAACCCACGCAGAACAGAAGAGTATGAGAAATCCATAGTCAATGATCGAGTTTTTCTTTGTTTTTGGTAGTCATTAGGAAATTAAATTTTTTAAGAGGAGTTCTGTCTTGTATTGTATTTATTTTTCTAATTTGAGTTGTGATAAAGTTCATGCTTTTTTGTTTGTTTGTTTTTCCTTGTTAAAGACCTTGTCTCATGAACAACTATTAGGTAAACCTTACTGATATTGGTGATTGTGGTGCCGTATGACTTTATACAAATTTACCTGCAGTTTTCTGTATTTTTTCTAATTAAGTTTACATTGATTGCGTGCAAATTAATATGCTGTAAAAGACTTACATAAATAGACATGAATTGAGCTGATGTTATTTTTCATATCAAGTATAATCTCTATTAACGTCAGTGATATCTACTGTGAGGAGTTTCAAGTATTTTGTTTTGGCGGAAGAAATTTATGTAGGCCTAATGGGGGGTGTGACATTATTAATATTGCAGATTTTCTATATGTGAAATCATATTAAAAGTAAATACGCATTAAATAAAATATGCAACTGGATACGCAAATATTCTTGTCTGTTTTTGACAGAAGTTGGAAAAAATGATGTTGTCCTGTCTTGGTAAAACATAACAGGGAAAAACGATGTTGTCTTGTCTTGGGAGAAACGTACCTCTTTAGTATGAAGGAATTGTTTCTTAACTTGAATTCCCGGCTTTTTTTTAGTTTGTTTTCATTCATTGCAATATCGCAAGAATAATTTGTTTGTGCTAAAAGCTGATCACAGTGATTTAATCTGAAAGTAATGCTTACACTTAGCAATGTAGGTAAGTGGAGATAATTTCCGGTACAGCCGTATTCCATTCGTATTTCAATGGATACGAACGCGTGGCAATTTTTAGCAGACTGAATTTCAAGCCTTACGAACAAAATGATTATCTTCCAAAAATAATTAATTTTAATCGTTCGTATAGATTGGAGAATTACCGTACTTATGATTTTGTAACTTAAAAGAATGATTGCCATTCAGCTCAGCTTGATTGGATTACTTTTCTTTCTTTTTGTCTGTACATTTGACAGCTTTGCTGCCTTGTTTACTAATAAACATCGTATGGTATACGTTATTATTCTCAAACTCATAGAAGTGATTCAGGAGGGGGCTTCTCGATATTCCGAAGGTGTATCCAATTAACCTTCGGACTATTGAACCTTCAGACTTTTGCTACGGCCCCATTCAGGATTTAAATGCACCTGGTTTTTGTAGAACCAGCCTGATCATATACTATTTAACTCGTCACATACTAATCATGTACTACATTACTAAAGTTATGAAAAATTTTTACGTCTTGAAGGTTGTGAAAGAGGAATTGTCTGTGGTGTATTTGATATCAGACTTTCCATTAGGATGAGTATGGTATATAACTGAACATAACAGAATATGTCCCCTTCATATAATAAGTTTTAACTTGTGTAATTTAACAGACAGAGAAAAGATCAATTTCATTTTATGGTGCTTGCCTGTTACCAACATTATGCAAAAATTTGTGGATAGATTTTGATGAAATTTACAGGATGGGCTTACTAAGCATAATCTCTTGGTGGTGACCCACTAATCAATTAATTGAATGATTGATTGATTGATTGATGATAATGAGCAGTGTTGACAGACGTCTGCATTATCTGAGTGCTTTTCTAATTATTCATGATTTCATTTGAGAGTGAAAATAAATGGCCTGACCAGTGGCTACATGCTCAAACTTTCACTGCAAAACTACTACATGTACCCACACTGTCTACAGAAGTGCAGATAAAACTGATGCAGGTTGTCAATCCACATACTATTGCTTAGGATTGATTACTGTATTGTGCCAATCTGCTCCAAGAAGTGTGCAATTTTGTAGGAAATTGCTAGGTAGGTGATACTTTGAATGGAATGCAGTTAAGTCAGATTGACATGAAATCACAAAAAAGCGTTTTTATTTTAGGTACCTCTATGATTAAATCCTGCATAATTTACTTTTGTATTTAAGGATAGTTATTATAAAGGTTATTTGAAATAACATTTTAAATATTTGAGTGGTGTTGAAGAGCTGAATCATAATCAGGTTGATCATACAACCAGTTCAATCTCTGTTTTTAAATTCTAACTCTGATGAAGACACTTACCAGTGCAGTTCTTAACGATATCTGAGGAAAATGAAAATATAATTTGCTCTGCTTAATAATTATGGTGTGGGAAAACACTGAGGAGTCACCTTGTGAGTACACAATTTTGACATTCAGTTCAAAATAGTACTTATCCTCTAGCCAGGTTTGCCAGCTCTTCATATTATCAAATATTTTTATTTTTTGTCAAAATCTAATACTTTTTCTGGCTATAAGAAATTATAAACAATACCTCTTTGCTGTTAAAAAAAGTGACTGTTGGCATCGGAAACTTCATTCTTCATATGTGTACATGTAGCTTCCTGATTTAAACACATATGACTTAGGAAAACTCTTCAATTGAATCCCTGGGGCACATCATACAAATTTTAATATAAATAGTATATGATCAACTTTAATTTTTGTCTCTTTTTCATAATGCTCTCACTCAGTTTGGTGTAAACAGTATCTAACATCATGTTCTATACCAAACGTTGTAAAGGTTTGCAAGAAGGTGGAGCCAGATAGGCAAGTGTAAACTGGCCTTCAGTTTTGACTAAGCAGAGAGATGTGCTTAAGAATTTCATTTTCTATCACCACTGATCCCTGTGTGTGCAGTAAGTGCCTCAAAAACCATTATTGACTTGGATTTATCTGAGGCACATGCCAAGAAAGCTTCATTTGGGGACATAAATTTCAAAAGAAGGAAAATTTTGATTGGCAAGATGACTTTTATATCACAGCTTTTCACAGCAGTAGCTAAGTATGGGTCCTCACAGACCAAAGGTAAATAAGTCTGATTGTCCATTGGTTCAAAGGGTCTATTGCTTTGAAGACTCATTGGTTTGAAATGTAATTAAAAAGACATTCTGACTAAACAAAATTGATGCTAAATGTAGAAACTGTTCTGATTCTCTTATAGCAATAATGCCATTGAATCTAAAGATCTGTGAGTCTCCATACACATATTTCTGCACTGGCTTATAAACCTTAACATGACAGTGGGGCATGAACCTTCAGCTAATAATTAATAAAAGTAACCCTTTTAGACTATTGGGAAGCACACATTTAAGGAAGTAATGAAACAAAACATTCTAATCCATATCAGATTGTTACAGACATAATTTTGCAAAAAAATGCTTTAAGCATAATCTTAAAGCAAATTACTTTTCTAATACTTTCGCATGAATCAAATTCAAACAAGTTTGAAATGTCTGACCATATGTTTTAACTTCTAAGATTCTAGCAATAGACACATAAAGATGAAACTGAACTTTCAGTTCTTTTGAGATAAGATAAAATAATGAGTTAAATGAATGCTGATAAAGTATTTCATTTAAGGATTGTCTAACCTTAAAGTTATATTTATTTTTCAAAAAGGAATTTTTTAAACCACTGTTGCCTATTGATTTCAGGGACTCCATCCTGAAGTGCAGCAAGCCAGTAGTTTTATGACCCAAGGATTGCCATATTTGATTAGTTGCCAATGAAGTGGTAGGTGTGTTCATTCATTCTTAAAGAGAGAGAGGAAAGAGAGGGAAATCAGCCATAAACAACCAACTGAATGGACAATTTGTGGTGGTGAAGTGTAGTGAAGTTTAGTGTAAACCACAGATGTGAGAAAAATGAATCAACTCTCAGAATCTAAAAAGGAATTCTGGATCTTTGGAGACTTTTGCTGCTCTGATTGTTGCTGAAAAAGATAACAGGACCTTTGAAAACTTTCATTACCCTAATCAAAAGAAGAGTGCAGTCTTTGGAAACCTTGTTCATATCCTGATTGCTTCTGCAAAGGAAAGCTGATCTTTAAATAGTTAAGTGTAAAGGGTTTACAGCACCTGATAGGTTGCTGAATAAGAAGGCAAGTTGATTCCATAATGAGGACAGCAACCAATGATTTGCAGTCAGCAGCGACTGTCTTGGGAGATATGAATACAAAAGCTGGACCAATTTTCCAAGACCTTCTATTTATTTCTTAGAAGTGCATGTATGAGCCTAAAGACCCAAAAGACCTGTATAGTGGGGCATTATCTGTGTTGCAATATTAGAACATACAAGGTGAAGTAATCCCAGGAGATTTCAGATGTTCTGATTTAGCTTTTGGGGTCTTTTTCTCATTTGTTTTCTTGACGCTTGAAAAAGGAAACACTATGAAACATTTCAAAGTGATTTGAGGTGGAAAAATGGGTTCACTCACAAATATTACAATGGATATCAAACAGAACATGACACTGGCAGAGAAACTAGAGAGTGATGGGTGGGTGTACTATCCCAATATCGAAAGCTTGATGAAGCCATGGTTGACAGATGCAAACTTTGTTCCAACTGTCACTGTGTATGCTGTAACTTTTGTTTTAGGACTCATTGGAAATAGTATGGTAGTTTTTGCCATGCTTGGAGACCAGAAAAACAGTTCTGTGGCAACAACCTTCTTGGCCAGTTTGGCAATTGCAGATCTCTTATTTCTGCTGGTTTGTGTGCCATACCGTATAGTGAGGTTTCTAATAGGATCATGGCAGGATTCATTTCTGTGTAAATTTTCTGGATTTGTTGAAATGCTGGCAGCTGTCCTGTCCATATTCAACCTCACAGCTGTAAGCGTAGAGAGGTAAGTTTTTTTGTTTTTTCAATTCAGTTTTTGTTTAGAAGTACAATGAATCTTTGAATTTCATGAGTCTCTTTCTATATTTTTATTGTATAGATATGTCTATAGATAATTAAGGAGACTTAAAAAAATTAACATTTCATTAACTATTTGTTATTTTATGTACCAGTATGTGTTTATATGGATTATAAGAGATTTTATAGAAAAACAAATAGGAAATGTGCTTGTATGAATTAAGTACAGTTTTCTGAGTTAGACACATCAGTTGCAGCCTACCACTCTTTTATTTTAACCAAGAAAAAAAGTGAGTAAAGGAAAAATGTTTTTGAAAACTTCTATAAACCAAAGACTAATGATTATTGGAAGTCTGTCAACATCTTTTTGTCCTTGATTTGAATATGATCTTAAGAATGAACTGTCAGAAACTTTGCTGTCAAGTGTAACATTAATCATAATCTCTGCCAAAGCAATTTTTGTGCTATTGATTAAGTCAAGCATCTGATCCCGTAACCATACACTCCCAAATGTTTACCAAATTACAGTTTGAAAGTATAATTTGTCATTTGTTGGGATATATCTTTTAGAAATATGACAGTAATTTGAGCAAGCAAGTGATTTCATGATTTCATTACGGGAACATTAAAAGATCTAGGGTACAAGAAAATGTCACGCACACACACACACACACACACACACACACACACACACACACAAAGAAAAGGAAAAAAATAGTAAAATAGGAAAACCATCTTTATTACATGTAGGGATTCAGTTGATATGATCATATCTTATCTTGCAATCTTTATATTGAATACTTTATATGCTTAAGTATGGCAAGATGGGATCCTCTTTGTGTTATGCCTTAAAACAAAAAAGCAATTGAAAATGCGCCATTAATAACATATTTTTAAAAAATCAGAATAAGATGTATGTGTAAATACTGGATCTCGAATAGCCTACATTTTTTTCAGCTAAAGAGCTAAATTTCTTCAAGAGAACCAACATTATGATTATAAATCCAATGACAATGTGGAAAAAAGTACACTTTATTTTCCTTAGCCATAAAGGGGTTCATCCATTCATTGTCAAGAAAAAAATGTGTGAGTCAAGAATACCAAAACACGGTGAATAGTGAATCACAGGAGTAATATTGTGTTGGCTATTGCATTTTTCTCCCACAGGTTATCACCTCACTTGATGTATTAGTTTTTTGATCTTGAATGATGGTTGTTAAGTATATGAATTGAAGACTCCCACTAGTTACCTCTAGCATGGCAATAGATTGGCCACTTTCTCTAGAAAAATCTTTTGGTTGCTAATATTAGTAATTTAGTGCAGCAGATTACAACTCCAACTGGTTTGAAAAAGTTTGAAAAAGTGATTTTTATATTTGGATAATCATGGCAGCCTCTGTGGTACATGTGTTAATTCGCTCTAAGCACCTTTGGTCATTTTAATGATATTACATTATCAAAGTTGTTCCCAGGTTCAGTAAACCGATGATGGCTTTTTGGTTCATCCACTTCCAAGTTTCAAATTCTTTATAGATACATGTACAAATGTATCTCCCCCTCCCTCAGTGACAGGTTAGAAGTGTCAAGAAACAAGTATTGTGGCCGGAACCCAGACTGTAACCTAATCAATGGACTACCAAATGTGGCACCAAATGATAGACTACTCAAATAAGTTGTAAATTATGTGCCAAATTTACAAATGGGACCAATCGATGCAAGCTGCTGACACTATCAAGTCTGAGTTCAGACAGTGATGACTGCAATTCTTTGTCTGATCACAATTAATTGATACAATTGTACTGAATGGTGTTTGATTTACATGAACCATTATCAATGATAATCAATTAATTTTCCAACTTCACTGCTAGAATCTGTAGAACCACTTGGCTGGCATCACTTTCAACGTGGATGTATCTTGTCTGCCTTTCTGTACATGATTAATAAAATGGAACCATAGATTGTTTTGCTTTTATGAGGAGTTACCCAAATTTATGATTTCTATTGACAATGCATCCTTTTAGATTTCATCATTCTATAAGATGTTAATGAAAATAAAAGAATGTTGGTTTGGTTAAGTTTTTAAAACAAGAGGGGATTTATTTAAAGTTTGTTGGGTTAGTATAAGGGATGTTCACTATCTTAAATCTTCCTATTTTCTCTTATATAACCTGTACTGAAGTCATTGATCCATTACATCCTTATTTAAAAAAAGACAAGAAAAAAAATGAAATAGCACTGCTAATAATTGCAAAAGACTGATGGCTGAGGCCTTTATTCAAGAATTTTCATTACTGCTTTCAGGTATGTTGTGATTGTTCACCCCATGAAGGCACGGTACTTATTCACCATGGGCAGTATCAAGAAGATTGTTATTGCTGTCTGGTTGGTGTCAGCAGTGCTGTCAGCACCAATGTTTCATATTGCTGTGAGTATAAGTTTCTTATTATCCTTTTTCCAGTGGCTTTGCCTAGCTACATTCTTTCCTACAACATTAAGTTTTATTTATTTATTTATTTATTTATTTATTTATTTATTTATTTATTTATTTATTCTGCAATTTATTTTTTGTGTGGTGTTTTTAGCCAATTATATCTGTAGGTTGATCCATTTTAACAAATATCTTTGAAATTTGTAAAGAGAGTTGATGCCACTTTGTCTCTCTACCTGTGTCCTTCTCCTCCCACCCCAACATCTCCTTCATCTTTTTTCCACAGAGTGATGCAAAACTCCTACTGACATGCTATTTCTGTCTACAAAAATTTTCCTGATGATGTTTTAATGTTCATCATTGATAACTTAACAGTGAGATGGATCAGATTTTTGCACCTGATAGCCTTCAAGTATCACTACCTAGTTTTAACCTCCCTGATGTTCCATTACAAAGGGCAGTACAATCCAAAACCAGTTCTGAAGCACATACTGCATGTCCAGATGTTATATGAAAATATGTGATGATTTAACTAATAACCTGTGAGTGGTCTGTCCAGTTAATGCCACTAGACAGCTACATGTAGATCACGATGGGGCACCATATTACCCATTATGCCTTAGATCTTTTCAAATATCCCCAGATTGTTCAACAGTTTGCTTGTCTGGCGGTATCAGTAATAAAATGAAATCTCAGTTTCAGCATCAATTTGGTGACACCAATCAGAAAGTCACAAACAACATTTATTGTTTATGAGGCCTGTTTCTGTATCGAAGCAGTATGTTCCTAATATGTAATTAAACAACCAGTTGTTTTACTACCATTCACAAGCCCCAAAATGCAATGTGCCAATCAGAATTGAATGAAGGTAAAATAAACTGCATAGCCATGTGAGGGCACCAGAGCTTTATTGAGGTGACTCTTTTACGTAATAGCTACGCTATTAATTTGTCATTTTCTCAAACTCGATGTGAAAGGGCTCCTTGACATTTGATCAATTTGTGAGAAAACTACAACACCCAAATGTTTCAAAGCAACTGAATGCATTTTACAAACCCCAAACACTCTGCAAACTCTCTACTACATGTAAAAGCAGGGGATAGAATTGGCCAATAATATGAAATAGAAATAGGGATTAAAATTATGTATGCAAAAATGTTTTAAAATCAAAATTATATACGTATATTCAAAAATATGTTAGTGAGAGATGGTTATTCAGAAAACATCTGTGAATGATTTTATGAACCTTATTAAGTGCTATATTTGTAAACCATGTACAGAGGATGCAAAACACACCTGCTCAGGTGCTTTTGATGTTTGAAATCTGCCCCTCCAATTTGTAATTCATCATACTGTAGATTAGAGACTTCAAGCAAAATACTTAATGTCTCTTTTATAAATCTGAAGTAATGATGATGGTTTCCACCTTGAAAATATACACATGTAGGTCTCACCTACACACTCACCCACACAGTACAACAGATCATGGTTGTAGAAGTGATTGCCACTGCATGTAATAAGTTCCCCCCAAAGAAACATTTTTTCTTAAGTTCAGTACTGGAAAAAATTAAAGACACTCTCTATTCATGCTGAGATAAGGAGTTCATTCAATAAAGATATGGTTCGATATTATTCTGCACTATTACTTTTTTTGAAAGAGCAATCTAAATTGCATTTTAAGCAATCCAATCTGACTCCATCTAGATATTGGCAGCAAAACTTAAAACTGTCATCAGTTAATTAAGCCATGCACACCATTATTTTTAAGCAGCTATCTAAATCGCTCTTTTAGCAGTCTCAGCAGATGCTATGCAAAATGTCACTCCAAGTCTATTTCTTTCAAATAAAATTAAAGTGAAACTGATGTGATAGCTCTTTACAAACTCATGCTGTGCACATACAATCAGTTTGTAAAGCCAATTGCTGGTCAGTTTAAAATAAATGAGTAAAAATAAAACTTGTGTTGACTATTTATAGAATCTTGAAGGGAAGACACTGTGTGGGACAGGCTGATTGCATTCAGACTTCAGTTTCATGACATGAAGACTATAACTTGCATTGTAAAATTGCTATTTTGTGTCAGTGGCCTGTGAGAAAAAATAAATGAAATTTCATTATACATTCTGTCATATCTGTTAACAGAAACCGTTTGAAGACACAGAATAATAATAAAGGATTGTTCAAGCTATAGATATGCAGCTGAATGAATTGGAATATGTCTGAGATCAGGTCTTTTTAATACCATAAATTTTGTGCCCATAAATGAATTTATTATCAGCATTAGGAATTTATATGACAGATTATAGACAAAAAACTTGCTGGAAGTGATCTTTATTGTAAGTAGAGTGACATTGCTTGATACAATTGTCATTAGTAGGAAAAAATGATTATGACTTGCTCTGCCTTTTTGTTAAGAAGGCCCAGTTTGAGACAATGTCTTTTTTATTCAAATGATTTTAAATACTCCCAAAACCAAAAATACTTCTCAAAATTGTCCTAAATGCTCAAGAAGGGAACAAACTGGTGTCGCAGATAAGTAAAGAATTTTTAAAAAATCTTTTTATTCAAGAATGAAAATTTGATATTCCCAACTCTGTCCTCTCTTATCACTATGTATTCCAAGCAGGTGCATAGAGTTAATTAATTCTGGAGTATTGGGTTTATTTTACCTTCAGGGTTTCAGTTAACTAGTGCATTTACCTGCTATGCAGTGCTGGGTTAGGTATTTATGATAGCCAAAGCATGTTGTTTAATGTGGAAACAAGTTGGATTTTTTTTTATACAGACAGTGTATGTGTCTGTATACATTCTAATGTGTCGTCTGCTGTGTCATCACCAGTGCTGCCACCATCACCGGCAGACATGTTATTCCCCCTATAAATGACAAATCAAATTTTTTTACTGACTGGTTTGTTTGGTTAAAAGGACAATTTTATTATAAGAATCAACATGATTGAAATATTTTTACAAAAGTTTATACAAATTTTTTATCTTGTTGCATGTATTTTGGTGACGCTCACCCCATATTTTTGTTTAATTCCAAATAGATGCATAGCTTTGTTTGGTAAAGGGAGGTTTCTTTCAAAAGTTATTGTTTTTTCTGTCAAATATCTGTATATTTGCCTGTTTTGCTTTCTAGTCAGTAATAAGATTGGTTTCAATCCATTGCCTAAATACTGGCAATGTACTTCAGGATATCAATATTTTTTATATTTTATGTTTCATTGACTGTCTGGCCACCTTGATCATTATAAAAAGACACCATAATCTAAAAGTAATAAATATAAATATTATAATACATATAAAAATGCAAGGAATGTCCATGCAGTTTCAACCATATTTTTTCTCTTTTGCTTGAGAGACAAATCTTTAAAAATGTTTTATCATGTTTTTAGGGCATCACAAAGGACAAATACTTTGAGAATGAGACCAAATTCATCATGCACTCCTGTCATGACAATGAAGCCCTGAACTATGGTGAGAAGGTGGCCTTTGTGTTCTACCAGTTTACACTGATGTTCCTACTGCCTACCATAGTGATGGTGTTCTGCTATACTCAAGTCATCAGGGCACTGTGGAGCAGTACACAGGAACTGTCGAGGATGACTTCCATGCATAGGTATGTATATACTAGTAATCAAATATGTGTAGATTATTGTGTTCAGATTTCTGGGTAACTGGTCCTCTGTTTTAATGATTCTGGCATTTTGCATAGCATCTACTAAGACTACTAAAACAGCAATTTGAATAGTTGCCTAGAAATAATGGTGTTGAGATAGCTGTTTAGAACTAAATGCTGTAGCCTTGGATATTCTGACAGTCTGAGAAGCTGGATGTATTGGACTGGGGGGCCACACAGTAAGTGTAACAGTGGAATTAAAATGGGGATTTTGAAAACATATATGCACCCTTAACTATGAGTTGCAATTTGCCAGAGACATTAAAGTCCACAAAATACATTTATCAATTTTTTAATCCAGTTGGCAACAATATGGGCTTGTCTTGAATACTAGAAAGCAACCTGACATAATATTTATTTACTGCAATGAAGTCTTAGTGGCATTTAATTAGTCTGATCAGAGTAAAATGAAGCTACCCTTTAATAATTTCATGGCATATTTTTATGAGGTGTTATCTCCTAAATAAGTTGCCTGTTTTGCCTGCACAGCAAGGAAACTAGAAAGCTTCATTTTAAAAACCTTTTTGAACCCAGTACAAATTACCTGTCAACTGATTACATTTAAAGGGACAATCCCTAAGATTTGAAAAATGTTTTTCATTTCTTATTGAACAAGGCCAAATAATACTTTTTGGTCATTTTTAACAGATAAATTCCCTGAATAAATATCACCAAAAATAATATTTTTTATCACCTCCTCACAAATCTCGACCACCTACATGTATTAACCTTTAACTGCTTATGCCAGGAAAATTCTTAGTATGAGTTTTTTCCTTGAAAGACCTTATGCTGCTAATCTTCAAGTGAAATACCCAGTCAAAATTGAAATAACATTATTATACAACACTGCAGAGTTCTGTCTGATTCTCAAATTGTTCTAATTTCATTTAACATTTTATTTCATATCCTATCCTGGAATATTTTTAATTTTATAAAATACTTTTGAAAATCTTATAGTACTTTGTTTTTGATGGGCCCACAATTCTGAACTCGCCTTGGCCAGATTAAAATTCTGATCTGACTTACGTGAAGTAAAAACCCAAGCTCAGATTGGAATTTTGATCTGGCATTATTTTTGATCTGTCACCTCTAACGCATATAATCTGGTTTTTGTAGGATTTCCCCAGAAGGGCATTAGGGCCCTCATATATTCAGCATAATTAAATCACATAAGTGTTGTGACTATAAAATATCACATTAACTCTAACCATTCAAAATGTGAACTTTTCAAGCCAGGTGAACTTCATTTGTATGAGATTTTCACAAAATTTTCATTCAGATTTTACAAACATAGTAAGGTTTATCCAATACTTATCTTTTGATTGTCATTTATTCTGTCACCTCAGAGAAAACAGTATAAGTCATATAGCTGAAGACTTTGAGTCAGAGGAGTCCCAGACCCAGCAAAGATTGGTCCATGTGTCCAGCAGGTCCACTGTGGTCAGCAGACCTTCAAGCCAACAACTGGGTGGCCGAAACCATGGCAACTGTATTCGGGAAGCTAGAAAGCAGGTAATATGTGAGACTGAAGGGGAGAGAGTATTTGTATCATAGATCTCTAAACTAATGTGGAGGAGAGATCATGGACATAAAAACAGTCAGAGAAAAAAAAGCATTTTCACATCAGGCATTATACACGTATCAGTAACGAAAAACTTACTCAGTTTTAAACATGTCATTACGCTAACTTAAAGGGAGAAGGGGGCTCTGTTTATGTGACTTATGTAACAGCAAGTTGTCTTCCATAAGTAAGATACAAGTGACATGTGAACAGAAATTTTGGAAGTGGTTAAAATCACTGTGAGAGTTCCTCTATTTTTGGGTTCTGACAAAGTGTATTAGGGGAGACCAGGGCTAGTTGGCCCAGTTAGACACTTTTGGCCTTGTAGAGCCAACTAGGAATGGGATAGAGTAACAAAACCAGTTTCAAAGTAAGACCCATGAACTAAGCTACGTATGCAACGTCATTATTTTTTTAATGTAGTGCCAGGTGGCTCACAATTTGACAAAAAATGCAGTTGACGTCAGGGGGGGCCAACTTGCCCCACCACGGGGCAAGTTGGCTCCAGGGTCAGGGCAAGTTGGCCCCCTATACGAAAATGAAGTAAGTATCCCATGTATACACCTTGAAATACATTTTTATACATTTTCAATTTATTAAATTGATTTTTGAGAGTCTTTGATGAAAAAATAGTTCATATGAAGCAGATTTATCGTTTCCGTACGTCACGTTGTAGGGGGGCCTATGTGTTGCAAGAAACAAAATATCTATCAATAAAATTTGTTTTGTTTTAATTAAGAATAAATTAATAATGGTATAAAGCAGGTTATTAATGAATGAAAATGAATAATAAATTTTCCTTTTAAAAGAAACTAACAAATTCAGTTTAAAACCATTGAGTTTGTTTCAACAATGGTCTCTAGCTCTGTTGCGCACAAAGGTTTGTGGGTAATATGAGGGTCCATCTGCTTCTGCTTAGAAGTGAAAAGGACCTTCTAGACTTATGTACAACATGGTTTTCACTTTGGAGTGATGGGCATTGTGTCAAAAGACACCAAGATGCTAGTTTATTTTAAAGGATAACAGCCATTTATGGTACTAGAATGAGCAACGATGATACATCTCTGTGAAACTTGAATCATTGAGCTTCAGTTTGTTGCCCTATACATATATTATATTCGATCAAAAGCCTATGAAAAAAAGATTTTTAAATCTCTTAAACAAAATTACTTTTAGGTGGAAAAAAATCGTTTATTTCGACTTGCCGCTTAAGTAAAACTTTTTAACGTCCGACACTTCCTTAGCATTGTGGGCTACGGTCACTTTACAAGAGTATGTGGCCAATTTTTTTACCCCGTAGTTACTTTTTCATAAATTGATGGGGGACCAACTTACCCCGGGGTCCAACTAGCCCCGTTCTCCCCTAATGTGGTAGGGAGGCTGGGAGAAATGGGATGTGTGACAATTAGCCAACAACTGGCTAGTGTAGAGACCTATATCCATCAGTGCAAGCCTAACTTGGTACCTTGCTTTGGAAATAATAGAGATGGATACTCTTTCTAAAGTAGGGGCAATTTGCACATCAGCCATCATAAGGAGCCTGGATAATGGTCCATTGTGTTATGTTGAGTGGCTGAACTACAATGATTTAGTGGGAAATGGAATGGAATGTGTAACAGAAATACATTATTTGAGAGGGAAAAGGAGAAAGAAGGGTTAGAAAAACACGTGACAACAATTTTATGAGGACTTAGTTTAATTGTATATTCAATATTCCCATCTCACCTGGGCTGAATGGTAACTACACACTTGTTTTTAGACTATTGCCGAAAAATAAAAGGTGAATAAGTGATAAACAACTTTCTGCAATTTTCTGCATGGAGCACAGTGCATGCATATATATATATATATATATATATATATATATATATATATATATATATATATATATATATATATATATATATATATATGAATTTTATTGACAGCAGAATTTGAAGATTCAGTGAAATAAATTATTTTACAGGTGTTAGACATTTGGATGAACTGATATTTAGAACTTTTTTTTTTATTGTAGGTGATCAAGATGCTGATTGTAATCATTATTGCCTTTTTGATCTGCTGGGGTCCCAAGCTCATCCTTGACATCTTAATTAAAACACGAATTAATCGGAAGATCATCTTCAGTCCTATAACCTTCAAAATCAAGGTAGGTGGCACAAGTATGGTAGAGTTAAAGATATCAGGTTAAATCCTGGTTTAACACTAAAAAGTGTGGGGCTTTTTTTTACCAGAAAGCATGTACATACTGTCACAAATTTGAAAATTTCGAATAAATTTATGACAATTGCATGGCTATAAGTTTTTACCTGAACATGGTACAACCACCATTAATGTAGGAATTATTTAAGAATTTTAGTACATATAATCCTTTTTACAAAAATTTATAATATTTGATTCCTTATTGCCAAAGTATGTATCTATGGCTAGTAAGATAATATCATTATTTAGTTGAACAAATCTGTACTATCATGTGTGACCTGGTTTTTAAGCTCTCTCCCCAAACATCATCTGGGTAAAGTGGCCAGAGAAACAGTGCAGGCTCTGGCAAGATTTACATTAACCAATTTGTTCTGGGCACATGTGGAATCAGTTCTTCGCGGTTATTGATCTTTATTATGCATTTAATACACATGGTTAACTTGGAGGTTCTCTCAAGTAATTGACGTTTAATTTGTTTAAATGTAAAGTATATTACTATTGACCTTCTAATGAATTATTGTCCATATGGTAAGTTTTAGCCTTGTTGTTAGGAACAGCAATTGCCATGTTTAAGGTAATCAGAAATCAATTGGTGGGTTAATGCTCAGATACAGACATCAGTGGAGAGTGATACTGCAAGAATATGATGCTGCAAGTTTGGTGCCAAATTGCAATGCATTTTCCTTTCCAAATTTGCAGCAAATTTTCAACTGAAGTTTGTGTTGGGCCACATATTTTGTTTAAATCAAACAAAAGGCATTTTGGCATTTATCTGTTAAAATGACCAAAAAGTAATACTTGCCCCCAGATAAGTTCAGCAAGAAGTGGTTTCTGGTGTAATTAATGTGTGTTTAATATCTTATTATTTTTCTCTTTTCAGTCTTTATCACATAGTCATTATCCTGTTTCAGGTGGCATTCAGTCTCCTCCCGTATATACAAAGTTGCCTGAACCCAATCATCTATGGCTTTATGTCGAGCAACTTCAGGCGAAGTTTGGTAAACTCCTGTAACACCTACCTACATTTATGTCAAAGAAGAAAAGGTCGTACATATTTTGATCCTGATACTGATTCAAAATCCACCCAGCATACACATCTATCACCATCATTTCACCGTGGAGGAAGTCACAATGGTTCTTCAGGCGGTGTGGAGCAATTGCCCTTGACACCAAAGAAGTCTCCATCAGAGGGAAATGGAAGGGGGTCCTTCCACATGTACAAAGGAAGCAATGGCCTTAGAAAAGACTAAGAAAATCATGGGGAAATTTACTGTATGTTTTGGCAACTGTATATTTGTGATGACAAGGGTCTGTTGAACAAGGATTCAACAACAATTAGGTGCTGAATCTGAAATGTTATATTATATTAGGCACTTAAATTGAGACTGGAGTATGATCATGACTATGGGCATTGGGAATGTTGAAAGAGAGAAATTAACAATCCTCTAAAAATTAAAAAATATATATGGTACTGCTCATAGCTATCTCACAGCCTGAGACAGATATAGCTCTGTGGGATAATAGTTTGCTTATACTTAAAAAAAGCCTCTCTTTCTCTCTCTCTCTCTCTCTCTCTCTCTCTCTCAAACTTATTGATTTAGTCTTGAAAGAACTGTTGTCAATAAAAAAATTAATCCAAAGACTGTTTTAGATCCAGCAGTTGTCTAAAAGCATGCCAGCAGGTAACTAAATTAGTGAGAAGCCCTATTTAGACTTAGATGGAAGGTGTGGTTTTGGTCAATGTTTCCATGACGTGAAAACTCTGCTGCTGCTTTGCAAGTTGAATGTAGATAGGGAATAACAATATGATACAAGTGTTCATGAAAAGATGTTTTTATTGTGTATTTGATTAAAAAAAGTAGTTTCAATTTTAAATATCTTTTAATTAATTATAATGGAACAAATCATTAAAAATGATGAAATGAGTCCTTTAATGTTAGGTGTATGCTACAATTATGTTATACAGACATATACTTACATAAGATACATGTATGTTATCAGAAAAGGAATTAAGGCAGACATAAAGCAGCAGGCAAAACACATGAAAGAAGAAGAAGAACCACTTTTCTCAATGGCAATCACTTCAGGCTGTCTGCCTGCATTACTTTTCTTGACTTAAAAAATGAAATCCAGACAATTATAAATGGTTTATAGATCCTGAGGGCAAATTTGAACAACAACCTCCCTGCATGTGATTAGCTTGATTTAGTGTAACCTCTGTAAAGTTCTGTCCTAAAAAGCATGTTTAAGAGATCTATCTAGTTATTCTGTCATGTACATGATGCTATGAACTTCACAATCATGTCGGCATCTGGATTTTTGCCTTTTGGTTTAGATATACCCATGTATGTACTGTACTGCATGTACATGCATATCATATTTTGTATTGCTGACAGGTTGAGTTACATAAGAAATGTTGAAAAGGTGTAGGGTTATGTGTAATATACATGCATTCATGCAAGATGATGTAATAAACATAAGTAAAAACAGTCAGTGTTCATAGTAGGTGTTTGACAGCTTTGTTTTATACTTATTTGACAGCTGTGCTTACTTAAGTTATCAAAGCTGGGATAGAATTGCAATCAGTATTTATCTTGGAGCAACACATAGTTATGAATGCCATGGAAAGTGTACTTTCCAAATTAAAAAAAAAATGTAACCAAATATAATAAAATTAGGCTGTAGGGCCTCTAGAATATTGCAAAACTTTTCTAAACAAACTGTCCAATATCAGTGGCTTATTTTAACCGAAACTTTATTTTGTACGTAGATTTGTAATTATGGAAAGTTGATTGCTTGAGTCTCATTCAGATTAATAATTATTTCAAGTTATGTAAAACATATGGTATGTGTGTGTGTGTGTGTGTGTGCGTGTGTGTGTGTGTGTGTATATGTAGAGAGAGAGAGAGAAAGAGAGACTGTTGTAAAGAATGCCAATAATGTTTTGGAGTGTTGTAAAAGTAAATCTTACCTTGTGTAGCATCAGCAAGACACAAAATTCCATTGAGATTCTCATCAACCTACACTAAGTCACTGATAACAGGGTGTTCAAATCATTGTACTCATCAATGGAGTAGTTAGAATTACAAGAAAATTTGTTTTCTCTATTTATTCAGAATAGGAGAGAGACTATTAATGCTCAAATCTTGTCATTAGTTGATTAATAACATCAGAATAAAGTTAGCAGATTTTGTGACGAATTAGCTTTTTATCACTTGTATATGCTACATGTTTAAAACATGAAACTGTATTAGTTGTGAAAGAACATAATTCAGTTCATACAGGGAGGTTCAGACAGTAAGGCTGCGTTCACATGAAAAATCTATTTTCTAAAAATCTATTTGCGGTATCCTGTGATCATGGTCTGTGCCCTGGATACCCCATGGCGTAATTATGGGCAGCGCGAGCCAGTTACTTCCAAAGCTGTAATTAATTGTCCGCGCTGCCAGTAATTATGCCGCGGGGTATTCAGGGCACAAGATACCGCAAATAGATTTTTAGATTTTTAGAAAATAGATTTTTCATGTGAACGCAGCCTAAGTGACTATGGACAGCCATGAATTTTGTGCAGCCAGAATCTTTTTGAAAAAGTAATGGCCAGGACTCGTCTTTTTTGGATACACTGCATATAATGTTAGAAATGGCTGTAAAAGTTGATGCTGACAAAGAGCATTAAGGGAAATGTAGTTTAAAGACTTGAAAAATTGAATTGAGTCCTTGTTTTGAACAACTTTACATTGTCTTTTTTTTTTCTAAAAAAAAAAAAAAAAGAAAAAAGAATAAGAAAAAAAGCAGTTCATGGTGGTCATTGTATTGTGATGTTTTGAAATCAGTAGTGAGAGGAGGAATTGATAAAAATCGAGTAGATCTGCTATTGATTGAGATAGATCTAAATATTCTCAGTGTATCAGACCATATCATGTCATTGGACCAAGTCATCAATAATTGCTTTTCAGGTTTCAATGAATTTCACTTTTTGAATTATTTATTATTATTATTATATTATTTTATTATTATTATTTTATTTATTTATTGAATTAGACAGAGAAAGGGGCTTTATGATTCAGACGAGGATCGTGATATGCTCTTTTTCTTCATAAAGAGTATGTATATAAACACAAAGTCAACTGTTAGGTACAATAATTAATTCAGAGTGTTCTGTTATGGTGGTCACTGGGCAATTTGTGAGTCTTTGTCATTAAATAACTCTGCACTACTTTAACTATCAGATCATTAACTCAGAGGAGAGTGTGAAAATCCCTTGTTTATGTACTGGTAGATGCATTCTGACATTCTGGTAATGTATTAGTTATTATTGAGAGTATTTATGTGATGAATTTAATGTGCAATGATATAACTTTACAAAGTTGAGCTTAAATGAGATGCTTGTCATCTTTTTCTTTTTTATTTATTTATTTATTTATTTATTTATTTATTTATTTATTTATTTATTTATTTGTGAAGAGGCAATAAATTGTGTGCTGTAAAATAAATTTTTGCTAAAGGGGAAAAACATAAAATGGTTTGTCTTGCCAGCATGCATTTTTATTATCAATGTCATAGAATAAAGGTTAGATAAGAAACTTTCTCATCAAAACCAGTTTCTTCATAACAAATTGGGAAATTGTTATAGATAGGTTTGCACTATATTTCCTTCAGCCCTGGTCACACTTATCTTGAGTGGAGAGGATCTAAAAGGAAATGATTGTACAGTATATTTAATGCAGTCATAACTCGCCACATTTCATAGAGAGGTCACTTGATCAGTTTATTACCCATTAATAATATAAATGAGGAGCTCGTAGGTGCTTGTACTTGTCAGGAGTGGGTAAATTGGGCTAGGGCCCTGTGGACTGCTCCAGCAGAACTACCAGTATTCTAACAATCAGCCTTAGACATTGTTGAACTTTCCATAATTAGTGCACTGTGTGGAAGTTCACAGACTTGACTGTCAAATTAAGTAAAAATAGTGTTAGTAAATGAAACCACATGTTGTGAGTTGAGTACCTCTCCAAAGATAAAAATGTAAGATAACATGAAAAGTTGCTCACTTATACCAATTACCTTTCCATACAAACACTACGTGTTATTTCTGAAAAGGGCACTAGCAAGATGAAGAAGCAGTGAATATCACCCAGAAAAATGTCCAATGCCATAATAAATATTTTTCAGGAATCTTAATTTCTTAATAAAAAATATAACAGCCCTTTGGCTTTTTCTGAACTCTTGCATTTTTTCTATTTTCAGAATAAATTAGATAATCAATTTTAAAATGAATGAATAAGGTCCTTGTAGTTGTCAACTCTGTGTTTTTGTTCAGTCATCTGTGTTTAACTGTTTCAACATGTGAGATGTACAACTGACTTGAAAAACATGTACAAAATTAGTTGTCATGTGAGCAACATCATTTTCACACCGATGAGCTTAAGATGGCTCTTTCATATTCATTTCATGTTCCTAGAAAAAAAACAGCCAAACACTTTTTGTATCTATTCTCTAACAAAACTCAATTACAGTAGGACCAGAGAACTCAACAAAATCCCTCTTTTTTGTTGTTGTTAATTAAAAGAACTAGTGATGGAAAAGAAATTAACCAAGATGCAAAAATGTAGAAAGCAGAATTTGAGAAAAAACATTTATGTATACATATTACCCAGAAATATAAATTTGACTTAAATCAATACAAATATTTAAAAATCAAAGGCATTATAACCAACATTTTTTTTCAAATTCATTAGTTCATTTATATACATGTAATACAAGACGTGATCGTTATACCAAGTACCAGCACATGCTCATACCAGTCAGTCAGAGAAACGTTGCAAATTTGTCTCCTGCTGTGAAATATGGGTTGAAAGGTCTTGCAGCTTATTTCCTAAACCACTTGTGATTCACTCCCTGCTGTCAATGTTTCACATTTTTGTGAAGTTTTTTATTACCAGTTTGGTAAAAGAATCGGCAGATACTTTTGTAGACTTGCATGTTGGAGCATAAAAACGGAATCAGTAGCTCAATACCTGATATACTATATACAAGGCACTTCGAAGGTGTGGTCGCGTTTATGTTTAGTACAACTGTCCTTCAACAAACCAGTATGTATATAGCAGTGGTATTGAGGTGGGTAATTGCAGTAGTAGAGCTGGATTTACAGTGTATATCACACCTCTCGCAGTGGACTATTTGAGCTCAGCAAGCACATTAAGTTCTTAAAAAAAAAGACCTGTGCGTGATAACATTTAAACTTAAAACACATGTATGACGTATTTGTTGTTTTGAGCATTAAATGGATCACAATTGAATACGTGTAGTCGGGTTATCAAGAAAAAAACTCGGCAGTGATACAGTTGCTTGGAAAAAGCTTGTTTGTGGTATTTTTGTCTCTGATGCTCTCCTTAAAATATTCCGTAGTCCTGTGGGACTCTATTGGACTCTATCGGAATCCCACTGGACGAGATGGGGCTCCATAGCAGGGGCGGATTGAGGCCGTCTGCTGGGTCTTCCGGAAGACAGTCAGATTTTCAAGTTTACATTGATGGGTATCTAATTTTTCTGTCGGAAGACGGTCAAAATGGAGAATGGATCAACAAAGATAAATTTGAAGACTGTCCCTGCATTGGTATTTTGTCGGACATCATATAAGATGCCTGTGGAGAACATATGTCCAAAAAGAACCTCTAGAATTTTGGGCCAATTTTTATAGAACAGCCTATAGGACCCTTTAGGAAATTTCCGTAGGGGCCTGTACGCTGTACTAGAGTTTCAAACGCTTGCGTCTTAGGCTTACTTTTTAAGTACATCTATTTTAATTCCCTTGATAAAATTGCTTACCATTTGTAAAATTGACTGTAATTCATTAATCCGTTTACTGCTTAGAAGTGAAAAGGACCTTCTAGACTTATGCACAACATGGTTTTCACTTTGGAGTGATGGGCACTGTGTCAAAAGACACCAAGATGCTAGTATACCCCTACTTGTTAGCTCTTTGAATTCTGTAACCTTTATACATATTCTACTGTTAATATTGTAAACTGTTTACCAGAACAAAAGTGACAGACCTGTCGAAGGCATGTGATATAGGCCTAAGTTGTCACGTTCTGTAATATTCGTTGATTTCTTTGCTCAATTTAGACATGCGAAACAACTTAAACGCAATTTATAATTTGAAGTGAAACAAGAAAAGCAATTGAAATATTATCTATCATTATCGGACAGGCGTTATCTTTACTGGTTCCTAACGTTTTGAGTTACGTTTCAGTTTCAATCTTTTTCAAGATTTGAAAGCAGTGTCATACGTTTTTACATGTAGTTAAAGCACGCAAGGAGGGCATTTCAATTCGTTAACCAACGTTTTGACTAGTTTCCTCGGGTGTACAGATTTTAAGTTATTACAAATTGATGTTTAGAAAGTGACTGGACATGTGGTGTCCAGGCAAATAAATAGTATCACTGGTTTACTTATGGGTTCTCTGATTTATTATAAACCAACAGCCTGCCATTACTTTTTTCCCTTTCATCTCGAGTAAGTACACATTTAAAACGTTATTTAAAATGCCTAATATACATAAGCATGATGCCATAACAAGGAAATGCTTAAGATAAAGATGTTTTCAACATTAATTGTGAAATATCTATTTAATGCATCCGGGGAAAGTGCGCAAAATACTGCCTCTTGTTCTTTCAGATTGTTGAAATTATTGAGATAAAATCTGTTGTACAAAAAGATANGTTTTCAACATTAATTGTGAAATATCTATTTAATGCATCCGGGGAAAGTGCGCAAAATACTGCCTCTTGTTCTTTCAGATTGTTGAAATTATTGAGATAAAATCTGTTGTACAAAAAGATAAGTACTGAAAAAATGCCGTTGCTTTTATCCCAGCTGCTTAAGAGATTTTTCTTCTGCTCTATAAAAGATATGTAATCTCATACATGTGCCAAGTAAACAGCAAAACATCGGATATGCCAGCGTCACATGACTTGCAAGGCCACGGTGCTAAGGTTGTTTTCTATTTTTGCCTTGTGCTTGGTTCGCTAACTAGAGAGAGGACTTGGAAAAAATATAAATGGAATATATAATTGAGGTTAATACTTTAATATGATTGAGTATTGTCGCAATAATGCGTTGTTGCTTTTCGCGAATTTCAATTTAAATACGATTATATATGTGACTTGGAAACAAACTGCTAGATGGAAAAAATCATGAGTAAACAGTAAACAGGCCCATATCAACCCCGGTTTCAGTGTCAGTTGTTTACAAGTTCATTTTTTCTTTCAACAGTTTCTGAACAATGATCCCATGACTGCAATTAACATAAATGTTTGCTGTGCTATCACAATTAAAGATCAAATTGCTGTCCTCTGAGTCAAAACCATGCCCTCCTTCACAGAGCTTAGAAAAGCGGTATATCATTTTTAAAAAATCCCGGCTTTTTGTTAACAGTTGATAGATTCTGATCTAGATGGTTTTTGTCAAAACATTCAATCAAATATTTATTTTTTTAAAAATCTATATCTAAATGATAATCCAGTGTTATCCGTTTCAATCGATAAAATGTTATCACAGATGACCCTTGAACAACATCGTGTACGGCCTGCAGCAGCGCACTTTGTTTGCATAAGGTGCTCCACCCCGTGCGAGAGGTTCCTGTGCACTCCGCTTGAACTTCAACCTATGTCTCAGGTCACCATTCAGCCAAGAGTAATAAAACCCCGATACGCCTCCTTATGTCCCAAATAGCTTGAAGTATTACCGCTTGAAACAGCGCACGTAGAACTTATTTTCTGTTGTTTAATTCAGCTTGCTGGTGACATTTCGAGATGAAGTTCTCAGTAAGCCTTTTGCTTACCTTGATCGCAGCCGTCACTGCTAATGAGGGTGAGTTGAGCAAAATTGTTTTGAAAGATTTTATCTTTTTTTGTTTCTTTTATTAAGTGTGTCAAGGCTGAGTTTCAAGTTTCATTTAATGGTTGTTTGTGGAATGTATATCTGCCCAAATAACGGGTTATTTGGCTGTTAGCTTGTACAAAATTTTTTCTTTGGCGATGTTTGTTGAAAAGCTGTGCATATCATAGATCTTAATATCCTGTCAATTCCCAAAGCAAACAGATCTCAGCATGGGTGTTTTTGTGTAATATTGGTTTTGATGGGTTGTGCTTACCAAAATAATGTTGGTCTGTTAAACGGTTAAAACAGACATTTGAGTTCGAATGGGCAGAAGATTAAAATATAGTAGGAAAGTTACAGAAGTTTAGTAAATTATTTATCTGTGGATGTGCGTGCTTGTTTAATTTATGGCATAACTCCAATCTTTGCTGCTTCGATTCCATCTTGTTTTCACGTATTCCTCGCATTTTTCCTTGTGTGAAACGTTTATATTGGTCGGACTAAATGGTTTGGCACCTGCGCTAATATATTTACGCCTTGCTTTTAAAAAAGCCTCGCTTTTATCATAATACAAACTTAAATAGCATTGTTTGTAGGCCTTACTAACAGGTGCTTCGGATTTGGACTTCGAGCGTTGTGTGCCGTAAAATAAAGTTGCTTTTAAAGAACGGATAAGCTATGATATCCCGCAGATTTTGGTGTTTCAAATCACGAACATCACATTAGGTAACTAAATTGATTTTAAGTAAAGTGAAAATAAGTTAATGGGACAAATTAAATAGATATCGGGTTTGGATAATTGTGGAACATAGAGACCAATCAATACGCCAACTAAGATTTATATAGTAGCAGATAAGTAGTAAGCTGAAGTTTTAATCCCTCTTGTCTTAGGGCTTGAGGTCGACGATGGCGAAGCGGTGTACGTTAAACTCAAAGCTACCTTCCAAAGAAAGGACTTATCAGGTATAGTCACATAAATGGAAAAACGCGAGAAACAATTGTCCTTTTCTATGGGTTATCTTGTAGGGAATTCCTCCTAGCAAAGATCATTAAACCCTCTCCTAATTCACCATGCAAATTAAGAGGGCTCAGAGCTAAGAGTATGTGATATTGATCCAAATTCATCTTCTAATTTTAAACAACTTGACAGTCATTTTGGCACTGGTCAGCTTCTGATTTACTTTGATTCATCAAACTAAACCGAGACTAAAATATGATGGGTAGAAAAGGCGCGACATGGCAAAAAACATCTTTCTCTGTGATTCTACAGCGACATCGCATAAATATATTCTATTCCAATCAATGTTTCAGAACAAAGTACCGTTCGGGAAAAAACCCGAAAAGACCAAATAGCGTAACCAATCAGAGAACATTTCCCACGCTAATAGGCCTATTTGCCTTGGTCTGTCTCCTCTTCATTGGGTCTTCGTGATAAGATATGACAGACCACAGATAGCCCGACAAGAACTGGGCAAAGTTCGGAGTCCTTTCCAACTACAACACTACACATGTATATAACGATTCTCTGTAACATTATAACAACGAGTGCAAAATTCTCCTGCTTAAATGTGCAACCCTGCTCTTACTTTGATAAAAGAAATAAAAAAGGTATATACATATATTGAAACTTATATAAGTATAAAACAGTGGAAATTAACTTTCTCCATTAGTTATTCATTATTTTTCACCCCTTTGCATTTAAAATCTTTAAACAGGATTCATACTAAAACCTTTGTTGGTACATGTAGACTTATATGTTTTAACGGATTACAAACCTTGTTTATGTTCACTTTGCCCGCTTAGCTTTCTTGTTCTTTAAAAAGCAACTATTGTGCTAAAGATTGTGCTTAAGAAGTTACTTCCATTAGACTATAGTTGTGCTTTATTTTACCTCAGAAACATATATAGAATGACCAATTGCTTTAGATTTTCTCTAACCCGACAACAATAAGTGCAATAGGCCACACTACTTTTTCTCCTCGAGCATTGGGTTGGATGAAGAAAGATTGGGTTAGAAAAAATAAAAATATCTATGGCAAACTAAAGATGGTAAATTTTAACACGTAAGAGCTTCAGCTGTATGTCTATATATTAACCGCTTGGCTTTCATTGTGCTTGGCTGGCATCCTCTCAGAGCTTGCTGGTAGCTTTCTATGTTCAACACTCAGGTCAGCTTACTAATAATGATATCGCTGAATGTACGAGAGTGCGAGGTGAGGGCGATCCCAGCTGTAATGAAGCACGTCTGTATCCTGCAGGAAACACCGTCGGGGGCTCGCTCCTCTCCGTTGCCTGCGAGAGGGATCTGGCTTCCAGCAAGATCTGCCAGAACTTCGACACCGACATTGTTGATTTGGTGAACCAACAGATCAACAAGGAGTTCGAGGCCAGTTATTACTACATGGGACTGGTAGGTGTTCTAATCGGAGTATTAAACTGGTTAGGTAGTTTTCAGTCCCTTCACCTTTAATTTTATAAGACAAAATTGCAAAATAATTGATCCAACCCCACTCCGTTACCAGTAGAGGAAATTACACAAAGTAAGACCCACAAAAACATTATGGCACTTAGTCTTAACGCTGCAGTTTGTCAAAAACCGCAGATTTATGTGTGATTGTTCTTTATAGTAACGGGGGTGGGGGGGAGCAATTGCGGAAAATCTTTTTGACTTTCTTTCTTGCATCCACAAATTATGTTTTAACACCTGCGCAAAAACGGTCTCTTTGTTTCCCTATCTCACCTTAATGACTCCTCTACGTCACCCCTCTCACACACTCTCTTTCTCGACGTCTTTCTCAATCTTGGAATATGCACACACACACACACACACACGCACATGCACACAGGCACACATGCACACAGACATATGCTCGTTATTACATGCTCATCCATAAAATAAGCTGTATTTTATCTGGTCATTTGTAATCAGGTAATATATTTTTTCTGTTAGTCCTCTTTCTTCTCCCGAGATGACGTGGCCCTCAACGGATTTGCCAAGTTTTTTAAGAAGGCCTCGGACGAGGAACGTGAGCACGGCATGAAGCTGATGGATTACCTCAACAGGCGTGGCGCTCAAGTCCGGCTACACAATATCAAGGTAATTTAAAACGCTTTTCTAATATTTTTCTAATATCGAAATAAAAAAAAACTGGAAACATTGGACAGAAATGGCCTATTTTCGCATCTGAAAAGCTGTAGTTAGAAAATTTAATACTATGTTAGTGTGACGTTTCGAGAAATAAGCCATAATTTAAATATCCACTTGTCCTAACAGACACCAGGTCACAAGTTTTGAATTGAATAACGTACGTATTCCTTTATTTTCATCCTGTCGGTATTTGAAATTGAATTTCTACCATATGCTAAATAGCAACACGAATTCTGTGCAGTGTATATTAGCATGGATACTTTCTGATGCGAAATGCACTTTTTTTAGCACCCAACTCACTTCAGAAATGACAACATGGACGGACTGAAGGCCGTGAACGAAGCACTGAAGCTAGAAAAGCTTGTGAACCAGTATCTGCTTACTCTGCATAAGAAGGCTCAAGATGTTAACGACCCACATGTAAGTTATTGTCGTCTTTAAAACATCCACCTCCGCTACTTTTTTTTACTATTATCTTACGTTCAAATCGTTTGGATTTGGGTAACTTCCTGGCCTGGAAATGTTTGTTTAATTCAATGGAAACTTCAACACTGAATCACGAATCTTAACTGATCTCCCATGTCTTGCGACTAACATATTTCAAACGTGCATGAAGCGTGGTGAAAGGGAAAAATTATTGTGGTCTCAAATTTTTGCTGCCTTTCTAACACAGAGGTTGGTGTACCAATATTTTTGAGTATATATTTTACGACCGAGTTCCCCTCATATTTTCTCTGCGGACCCTTATCGTTTTTCAAAAAAATTTCAACTTGCAGATCATTGTGCGTTCTTTCCTGTATAATTAATCCCCATGATGTCGATTTCTACCTAACGTACCTTACTGACTGATCTACGCGTCTTTGATGAAAAACAGTTAAGGATCATCCGACAAAAAAAAAAAAAAAAAAAATCAGTCAGTGACGCACTCACATTATGTAATATTTTCAAAAATTTTGAAATGTCCCATTTTTTTTTCAGTTTCATACTACAGTAAGGAAAGAAACCAACAATAATTAAAGTGATAAGAAAGTTGTGCAAATATTACAAAAAATGTGACTTGAAATTACCAAAACTTGTTTCAAATAATCGCGACAACTATATTCAATGTTTTTATTTTTCAGCTGACCGACTTCCTGGAGTCCCATTACCTGGAGGAACAGGTGGAGAGCATCAAGCAGCTCGGGGACTTCTCCACCAAGCTCCGTCGTCTGACCAGCGGCACCGACTCCGAGGGAGTTGGCATCCACATGTTTGACAAGGAATTGGAAAGCATGTAAACCTATGGAACACTCAATTGACTCAATTATTAACAAACTGCGAACATTTCATCCCCGGAATGCTTGATCTCCGTTTTGTTTCGCTTCACAGCAACTTTTCCTGCCGTTGCGAGATATGCTTTTGAATTCTTATAACCAAAATAGTTTAGACTTTCTCCAAGCGAAGCCCTGACAAGATATTACGTGTAGGTTCGCTGGCAATTTCATGAACTGCCATTCCTAATTTAGTCATTCAAGGGCAAAAGCCTATATAAAGAGGAACCCAAAACTGGTCGTCTGTTCGCCATTCCTTATAGTCTGCTGGGTGACGTAGACGTTTGTGAAGAAATGGAAAATACTAGCTTCAGAAATTGACATATGAACTGATTATGAAATTTATTAAAGATTATATCGATTTCAATTGACAAAACTAAAATTTCTATTAAGACTATTTTTAAAAAAGAAGGCAAAGTGCCAAAACCTCAGTGCCATTTATAGCATTTCTGTGATTTTTACGACATGAAACCATCAGTGATACCAGGATAAAACTATGGATACTATGGATGGACAGACATCGACTTCATTTTCTATCGCCTGAGACACCACCGACAGGGTACTAGTACCGTTTTACTTGCTCAACAGACTTACAACCGTCGTATAAGATGAAATTTTCTTACATTGCAAAATAGTGCACAACTCTTTGAAAAGACTCCATAAATATTAACCTCCGTAAAGGAAACACATTCCGATTAACTTTTATTATCCTAATAACAGAAATACATTTTAATGAGTAAAATGATATACAATGACTTGTTGTTTTGTGTGATTGAATTTAACACAATTTCAGTATTAAAATATTAATTTTGAAAAGATCAGGGGCGGATCCAGGATTATTTGAAGGGGGGGGGCACGGATGCGAAGCAGCCCCCATTCCCCCCACCCCACTCCGATGGGCCCTGAACATTCTTGTATTTTAGAGGGCAAATGGTAATGCTAATTTTTTGGAAATAACAGTTAAAAGCAATCTTTGGTGAAATATAATACAAATATCTACTATAAATATTTGAAAATGCCAAGTCTATAATATGGATTACATCAAATAAATTTTGTAGAGCACCTTTTTATTTGCCAACCAAAAATACCACTGGTTCATTAATTGACCCCTACTTATCAATTAATAATTTCCCAACAATAATAACCACTGTTGTTTTGTGTGATTTTTATTTAACACAATTTCAGTGTTAGAGTATTAATTTTGAAAAGATGCTAATTTTTTGGGGGGAATATCTAAAGATGCTACAGATAAAAGCAATCCATGGTAAAATATAATACAAATATCTACTATAAATACTTGAAAATGCCAAATCTACAATATGGATTACAACATAACTTTTTTCTTTTATTTCCCAACCAAAAATACCCCTGGTTCATTAATTAACCCCAACTTATCAATTAATAACTTTCCCAACAATAATTACCACTGTTCATTAATCCCAAAATATCAATTTATAACCATGTTGTTTTCAAAAAATAAAAAATACTGATAAGATTAAATCATAATTCTGGTAGCTCATCATCATCATCCTCCTCTCCTCCCCCCTCATCCTCATCAGAAAAAGTTCTCTTTGTGCTGATCCCAAGGCAAGGGACATTTTCCTGTCTATAATTATCCTCAAAGCCGTCATCCAATGTCATTTTATTATGTGGCCTCCTGAAAACCATTCTAACTGACTTCCTGGGGGAATTATTCACTCCACTTTGGACTGTCTGACCTTCTCTCCCACTTGAGGCTGGATCTTGACTGTCCACGTTGTCTGCTGTGGATCCACTTGAAACAAGATTCCCATTGACTTCTTCCAAACTAGCTGAGACAGAATCATTAAGACTGGATGGCAGATTGGTTGATTGCACTGTCCTTGAGGAATGACCCTTGTCATCCTCGCTGTCAGAAGGGTTCGAGGATTCTCCTTCCTCTACCTGCTCTGACTCCTCGCTGTCAGACTGATCACTGTCTTGACTGCAGTGCACCTGTTCCACTTGTAACTTGGTTTCTGATGTGGCAAAATTGTATAAGTTCATCTGAAAAAGACAAAAATGATATCTTACAGAACTTTTATGAATTTAAGATGTCAAACATAAAACTGAAATGGTTAACAGGAGTATGAACACTCAAACACATCTTAATGCACAAATCCAACTGGAGGGAGGGGGGGGGGGAGGGTCAAAATCACCCATGGTAAATATTAAATTTTGTACAGCCAATATACTTGCACTTGGAAATGCAGCTGCATTATTGCACACAAGGCAGTAATGCCTCTCTTATGTCCTATCCTTTGCACAGAGGGCCAGAAATGAACTATAAAAGATTTTTCATATAGGTACACCAAAGCACAAAATGGGGAGTAAAATGATAAACTGTTGGGCCATTCTTTTCCAAAATTCCGGTTCTCTCATGAAATAAGGTTAACTCATATTATACATACTGTTTCTCAAAAAAAAAAAAAAAGTCTTGATGTCACCAAATTATAAACAGATGGCAGAAATTGTTAAAAACCTGCCAGCTTAACTACCCTATATTGTGTGTGAGAATGACCTTGGGTAAACTGTACTGAAATGATTAGCTTTGTTATATCAAAAGAGCATTGAACTTCAGGTGAACCTGATATTCTTTATACTATGTTATCTATGTGGACTCTAAACAGGCAAGTGTACGTGTACTGTTAAAAGAACTGGTGCAACTGTCCCAAATGAAAATAGCCTGTGTACATGGGACAGAAATGTTATAAAAGCCAGCTTGCATTAACATGGCATTCAAGGCACTACATAAATAATATGTAAATAGGTACACTAAAACTAGTACATATGTACCACTGGCTTGCATTTGGGAAAGTGGTAAAAAAAGGATCATGGCAAACACCATTTAAAGACTCATTTACATTATCACTTTGTAATACAGTTTAAACAAAGAAAATGGTATGTTTAGAATGTGTATATGTAAGAATAAATCATTTCAACATGCACGTGAATACATGCATGTCAATGCAAAATTGTATGTGCCTCTGCACGTCTCTATGAACTTGTTATCCTAATGCACACAATGTGTATCTTGGGTCACATTACAACTTCAGTCTCATGAGATCTCATTACCTTTCTTTCTGTTCTAAGTTCCATGGACTGTCTGCCACAGATAACATACTAGACAGATATTTCAGAAGGTCATAACATGTTTTTTATCTGATACACAGAGGGTACCTATAATCAGGTAATCATGACTGAACAAATGATGACTTCTGTATTCCATCATGTACACACACAGATTTCTCTAACACGAATTTGAAAAAAAAAGAACACCAGAAAAGTCATTTCCATAATCCTGAATGCAAAGGAAGCTGTATTCAATTTCCAGTTTCTTTCTTTCTTTCTGTCCTCTGCCAAAGCGTCCTATGTATCAACCAGGCACCTGCTGTAGCCTATATGTCACTGACCCCAAGATCTCTTACACAGTGAACATATTAATGGGAAACATGACTTGAATAAATAAGTGAGGTTTAATCATTACTTGAAAAGACATTTCTGAACATAACTGTCTAAACTTGCTATCAGATGGTATCAAGTACGGGTAAACAGGCCACAGCTGATGTAGGACTCTATTTAACTTATTAACAACAGTGGGTGCAACAATGCCTGGCAAGGTGTCAAGTTGGCTGTTACACTTTTTACATGTAAAAAGTACAAATTATGACCCGGTCACTCACCTGTCTTGACCCCATTGCCTGTTTCATAAATGTCCACTTGCTGGCCATACGGACCATCATATCCTTCACCTAAGAAATAATATAATACATTATCATTTTTATATGACTCATACAAATTTTGTAGTTTTACTTATTGAAATAAGAGGAAACGAGTCCAGAGAACTTCCAAGTCAATGTATAATGCTACATTGCTGACTGAGGGACCATTCCCAGAGCCTATCGTACTAACTGTGGATCAATCTATCTCCAAGGGGATGCTCGCTTAATTGCAATCAACTAAAGCAGCTTAGATGTCTGTCACACCTACTGAAGCTGCTAGGGGGTAATTATTGTTAAGCACTGTTAGTAGGCGTGCAAGACATCTAAGCCACTTAAGCTGAATGCAATTTAGCGAGAAACCCTTTGGAGAAGGACCGATCCTGTTAGATCGCTCTAGGTATGGGAACCCAGTCTGAGTTTTAAGTTTGGTACATTTTTTCATCCACCCACACTGTAGCATAATTAACAATGGCTCCAAATTGATGCCACCAATACCAAGGCTAGTAAACAGTACATAATTCCATAAAATATATTCCTATTACAAATATTGTAAAAGGGAGCAATGATTAAAGGGATAATAACTCTTCGTTTTGGCCAAAAAATGAATTTTCCTGGAGTAAACAACAATTTTCCCATACTAACCAATGGTTAATAAATCCATTTTTATATTCAAAGTTAGTCCCTGGTTTTTTTCTTAAAAGTTTGGTTTTTTGTTAAAATCTCTTCAGAGATTATAACAGAGTATAGCCATCAATGGAGGTCACGTGATCTGAAGACAAGCTCAGATATCAGAATAATAGCTATAACTGTTGTTTTTGTGGTAAAACAGAATATATTATATTTCTATGAGTTGTGTACAATGTTTTTATTGTGAAATATAGATATCATACGAAGAGTTATTATCCCTTTAACATCTGCAATGAGCTGCATCCTTGCCCAAGGCCTTCTGGAGTTTTCTGCCTTCTTAAAATATGCCTATAATATTGATAGCAATTTTAGATTTGAAACAATCTAAACAAATATGAAGTAATAAATTCTGTGGTGACAGCTTTCAGATTTTACTAGCATTAGTGAAGGCGATATTTTCATGTAACATATTTTAATAAGTTTGAAAGAACAATTAAACTCTATGTTATGATATACAGTTAAATAAAGTGCACATCCATATATCGACAATAATCAAAAGGGCAATTGGTCAATTAATTAAAAATCTGTAGTGCTTCAATTGGTGATACTAATGAAATTATTCTAATCGATTCTTATGATAGCTATAGGTGTACTTAAAAGGTACATGTGCACTATAATGTCAACAAGAACTTAGTGGTGCAAATACACAATACCTAATTCAGGCCAACACACAGATTTAAAGTAGACCTAGTTCTACCTTGTTCCATAATCTAAATAAACAAGTCTTGGCAAATCATCAGAATTAATGTATATCTGATATGCTGACATCTACACACAACCCAAAATCATATAACAAACAGTTACGCTAAATTATGTTGACATATCCAGAACACATAGAACCAATGTCCTTGGATTCAATTTGAACAGGGGCACGTGTACTAGGATTTTTTTTATCCCTCCTAAAATGTCACAAATGACAAGTTTTGGCTGTTACCCAATTTTCAAGCTGTCATGTGAAGAAGAAAATAAAACTTTCAACTTTACCATCTACCTTCTGACATCTCCCCTGGCTTTAAATGAATATATAAATTCAATGAAACTTTTCTCTTTTACCACTTGTCTCTTTTACTGAAATCAATGTAATCATACTCACCACGGCTCTATCAGGTTGCTTAGTGCTGTCCCTTATATCCCCCATCAGTCCACGTACCAGCTCTATCATATGGCCTAGGTCCTCCTGGATTAATTAAATTGAATTAATTAATCATATAAAATTTAATAAATTATTCAGCTCTTTTACTACATTTCATGAAAGTTGATCAAGTTACAGCTTTTCATATTTCCTAAAAATCTTTCTTGGGTTTTAAGCCCAAGTCAGAATTTGCAGTCTCAATGAGTACGCTAACAGTTTAAAAAGAGGTATACATATATATATAATAAGCCTTATCAGAAAAGGGCTTTTATTTTGTTCTTTCTTTAAGAAATAGTCTGTGCACTGATTCATTCAGTGGACAAGAATTACAAACCACTTCATAAGGTGTGTAACTGCTTACACAAAATCTGGATATATTAGTCAATTTACCAAAGGTAGATACAGTTAATTATTATGGGTAGAAATCGGAGTCAGCTTAATCAATTACATTTTAGAACCAAACTAAAGGTAAGCAGCCCTGATAGAGATGCAACTTAGTCTGCTATTAGTTTTAATGCATTTAGCTACGATTGTCTACTGAAATTTTTAAAGAAGACCACACAAAGGAAAAATATTCTTTTCAAATTTATGAATTTTTAGTCATACCACTCTTAGTTAAGAAAAAAGGAGGGGGGTTGTAAAGAATTGTTCCTATGATGAATTTTATATTATTATTATTTCTTAAAGTCAATGATATGTAGATTCCTGAGTTTGACCTGCCACAAAAATTTAACAGAGAAACAAAATATTAAGTTTTAAAAAATCAGACAGGACTAAAAATTCAAACATCATAATTCCACATTACGATTTTTAATGCAGAGGGTATACTCTTGGCACATATTTCTTAATAATGTGAATTTAGCTTCACCTTATAATACTTGTTGTAAAAAGACCCATTGTGATATATGTGTAAAAAGCACATCTGCTGCAATATCCAAATAAGTGTGCCAAGTTGTTACATTCACCCTTGTCAAGGACACCACTGGGTGAACTAGTATGTGCTATTTTTCACAATACATTATCATACTTAATACTATTATGTTGTATCTTGATCTGAAATTGTAGTCCATCCCAACAGCAGTTGTGTATTCAATAACACATTAAAAATATGCTAGTATCTTTCTTTTTATCTGTAAGGTAATGCCTTGAATAAGGGTTACTAAGCACAAATGGTCTATTTTAATGCAAAAGAATGAAAAAATAGTCCACTTTACTTTATATGATCTAGTAATGACAGTACCCCTTGTGTATCTTATAAACACATCAAAAGATTTTTGATGTGTATACTTTTTTCCATAGAAAAACAGTGGTTAAGTGTAGGTATTATATGTTTTAAATACAAACTGACATAAACTGGATTAGGCATCAGTCGCCTGATTTTGACATAAAGCTTACTTTTTCTGCTGCTTTTAGAGGCTCATTCCCAACTGCTGCATCCAAGAAGAGCAACTGGCTATGTAGGAGGTAGAAGTCTGGATTCACTTTAGGACTCAACTTGCTCACCAGAGGGAACAAGTTGTGAACCTAAAAAAAAAAAAAAAATTAGTTCACATAAAGTCTTAATAAACTCATCATGAAAAAATTGGCTATTGTTTTTCAGACAAGTCACACTCTGAATGGCTTGAACTATGGATGTGATTCTGAAACCTGTTCAACTCTCCTAAAGTCTTTATTTAAGAAAATATACAAATTGAGAATTCATTATGTAAATACTGATCTTTGAGAATACAGCATTTTTTTCTAGGTCTGGAAATTAATGAGTTGTGTGGTCTGGCAGGTTTAAATCTAACTCACTTTGAACTCGGTAACATCAGAAAATTCCACACTGCCCTGGACTGTATTTTTCAACATGGCGTAGGCCAGTCTGCGCTGTAGGTACAGCCCTCTCTCAGTGACAGGCCAGATATTCTGTACCAAGTGTACTTTGCTGTGATGATGCTCACTTAGCCCACACATAACACTGCACAGTTCTATTGCCTAAATAAAGAATTAGACTCACCATAATCATCAAAATAACTGACAAAATAAAAGCAATCGCATCCAGTTATGACATAAATGCACAAGTGACACTGTCATGATTTTCATAATCTCACCTGTTAATCAATTTTGCAACTCATGATGGCAAAAGAAAAAGAAACATCACCTATGAAAAGGTAGATTTGGCACTTCAGTAATAAAACATATAACAAAGGCATTCCAGGTGTACCTGTTGAGGCCAGTCTTCTGCTGGGAAAGCATCTAACAATGATGTCATCACGACCTGGAAGTCATACTCCAGCAAACGACTGAAAGGAATCAAATGAGAAAAGTTAAATATAGGTGTAAACAGAAATTGAATCATAATACCCTTGTCAGTGGATGGGCATATACCTGCCCATCTTGGGAAGTCATCAGTATATTAAAGCGGGTTTCCCCCTCCTCTCAGTCTGTGAATTTGACCTTACCCCCATTATGAACTATATTTAGAAAACATTCCCATCTACAAAAGACCAAGAATTGTCTCTCCCCTCCCCCCCCCCCCCTCTCACTCCCTAGGTTTTAGAGGCCCAGTTTGTCAAAATTTTGTACAAAAAAGTATAAATCATTCCATTCATGCATAAATTTAACTCTCACTTTGTAGTATTTTTGTGATAATAATCACTTACTACAGAATAAAATATTTATGGAAGAGCTGATGATGCAGTTGCAACAAGAGCCAAACAAATAAGTACAAGAACAACAGATATTATTTTACTCTGATATCAATTCTCCTTCTTATTTAGGAATAGTTATATTGCCAGATGACTTAGAATTTTAAGAGAAGTTAGCCACAATTCAACAACCTGATGACATTCTGCGTGTCCTGTCCATGGTACCTGCATGGACTGCTGCCTATAGAGAGCAATTTGATAGTTTGGTGATGCAGCCAGCATGCAGGCGGGTATACTTACTAATTGATCTGTTCATCCAGTGACACTCTGGCCAAGAGGGCTGCCACTGACAGAAGTTCACTGCTGCTATAACTGGATGGCCTAAATGATTTTTTATTGGGATCACATTAAAAAAGAATGAAAATTTCATTTTTCTGAATGCAGTTATTTGAAGTCCACATCTTTAAAAATTCACTTATCTCAATACGCAAGGAAGCCATTTATGAACATGTAAGATTCAGAGACGTAATAAAAAGGAAGGGCAGCAAAGTCACAAACATGTTACTGTTCTATACACATCAAGACAAAATACATTCTACAGGAAATAAAAACCTGAAGCAAGATTCAATTTAAGGGCTGTATCTAAAAGACCCATTACTCAATACTGAAACAGTTGTCATAATCACTTAGGCCACACTTTTTTATTTTTATGGATGACATCCTGCGCGCGCACCGATTTTCGCCCGTTCTCCGAAAAAAAAAAAAATTCTCCCCCCCAGCCCCCGAAGTCGGTTGTCGCAAACGTCGTTATTGAATTTGCCAGGAAATGAGCTTTCTGCGCATGCGTATTATCACCACTTGGAAATGTGGCCGCTTTGCCGTCAAATTCATCTCTAGGATTACTTTCAAATTACACTACAATAAAAGTCATAAAGAGAACGGGCGCCGTCGTTTTGGATTGGTATGCCATTGATATTGGGCATGGAGATATCACCTTTTTACAATTATGCGAAAAATTTCTGTGACATTCTGTACAAAGCAGCACATACCAGGTTTTCTGTAGCGAAAAAAGGGTCGACAAGGGCGTCGAGGTATTTGGTGGGCTGAAGGTCGGACAGGCCACCTGACAGTTTGGCTGCTGCGTGTGAGTCGAAGTAGACAAAATGGCATCGTCCGAAATGACCTTTAATAGATTTGGTAGTAGGCCCTATTAAGCATATCTTTGCATCATTTTTTAAACATTTCTGTGAAGTGTTCAAAGTGCTTTAATATTCTGAGAATACAAATAAAGACACACTGTTTGTTTGATATTTGTTTTATTAATTGCTATACCAACAAAATGCCTGAAATAACCTTGAATAGATTTGGTAATATGAAGTATATCTATTTGTGACGTTTTTTTTTACATTTATACAAAGTATTCGCAATGCTTTAATATTTTAAGAGCNATAAAAATTAGTTCACAAAAAGTCTTAATAAACTCATCATGAAAAACTTTGGCTATTGTTTTTCAGACAAGTCACACTCTGAATGGCTTGAACTATGGATGTGATTCTGAAACCTGTTCAACTCTCCTAAAGTCTTTATTTAAGAAAATATACAAATTGAGAATTCATTATGTAAATATTGATCTTTGAGAACACAACATTTTTTGCTAGGTCTGGAAATTAATGAGTTGTGTGGTCTGGCAGGTTTAGCTCTAACTCACTTTGAACTCGGTAACATCAGAAAATTCCACACTGCCCTGGACTGTATTTTTCAACATGGCGTAGGCCAGTCTGCGCTGTAGATACAGCCCTCTCTCGGTGACAGGCCAGATATTCTGTACCAAGTGTACTTTGCTGTGATGATGCTCACTTAGCCCACACATAACACTGCACAGTTCTATTGCCTAAATAAAGAATTAGACTCACCATAATCATCAAAATAATTGACAAAATAAAAGCCATCACATCAAGTTATGACATAAATGCACAAGTGACGCTGTCATGATTTCCATAATCTCACCTGTTAATCAATTTTGCTACTCATGATGGCAACAGAAAAAGAAACATCATATATGACACGGTAGATTTGGCAGTTCAGTAATAAAACATATAACAAAGGCATTCCAGGTGTACCTGTTGAGGCCAGTCTTCTGCTGGGAAAGCATCTAACAATGATGTCATCACGACCTGGAAGTCATACTCCAGCAGACGACTGAAAGGAATCAAATGAGAAAAGTTAAATATAGATGTAAACAGAAATTGAATCATAATACCCTTGTCAGTGGATGGGCATATACCTGCCCATCTTGGGAAGTCATCAGTATATTAAAGCGGGTTTCCCCCTCCTCTCAGTCTGTGAATTTGACCTTACCCCCATTATGAACTATATTTAGAAAACATTCCCATCTACAAAAGACCAAGAATTGTCTCTCCCCTCCCCCCCCCCTCTCACTCCCTAGGTTTTAGAGGCCCAGTTTGTCAAATTTTGTACAAAAAAGTATAAATTATTCCATTCATGCATAAATTTAACTCTCACTTTGTAGTATTTTTGTGAAAATAATCAATTACTACGGAATAAAATATTTATGGAAGAGCTGATGATGCAGTTGCAACAAGAGCCAAACAAATAAGTACAAGAACAACAGATATTATTTTACTCTGATATCAATTCTCCTTCTTATTTAGGAATGGTTATATTGCCAGATGACTTAGAATTTTAAGAGAAGTTAGCCACAATTCAACAACCTGATGACATTCTGCGTGTCCTGTCCATGGTACCTGCATGGACTGCTGCCTATAGAGAGCAATTTGATAGTTTGGTGATGCAGCCAGCATGCAGGCGGGTATACTTACTAATTGATCTGTTCATCTAGTGACACTCTGGCCAAGAGGGCTGCCACTGACAGAAGTTCACTGCTGCTATAACTGGATGGCCTAAATGATTTTTTATTGGGATCACATTAAAAAAGAATGAAAATTTCACTTTTCTGAACGCAGTTATTTGAAGTCCACATCTTTAAAAATTCACTTATCTCAATACGCAAGGAAGCCATTTATGAACATGTAAGATTCAGAGACGTAATAAAAAGGAAGGGCAGCAAAGTCACAAACATGTAACTGTTCTATACACATCAAGACAAAATACATTCTACAGGAAATAAAAACCTGAAGCAAGATTCAATTTAAAGGCTGTATCTAAAAGACCCATTACTCAATACTGAAACAGTTGTCATAATCACTTACTGCAAAAAATAACCTACAAATATGTACCAGTCTATTCAGGATTCATTATCTACTTGCAATTGGTAAAAACCTATATCTGGTAAATTCTTAATGTATTTCAAACCCACTGGCATCAGATATTAGAAAGATCCTTATCAAAAAAATTTTTTTCAGTTACCTTTTCTGAACAGCAAATGTAAGTATCTGCAACACCTTTTGCAAGTTTGGCCTACAGTAGCGTATTTTGTTGGTGTGTGTTGATGCATCATCAGCTGCCTCTCGGTGTTCATCTATTTGCTTCTTGGTGGTAAAATGCACATTTGGTTTGTCACAGTCTCTCCTTAAAATATAGGACACACACATTTAATATTAGAATGAAATTTCATAAAAGGAATTAGGTTAAGTTTCTGGAATACATTTTGAGCATTTTAGAAATGAGACAATGTCACAGATAATGGAAAAATCTTTAAAATAATATTCATAAAGATTTTAACCTTGAAAATGCATCATCCCTTAACATTGCAACTCTTCTATTTACTGTGGTAAAAATCAAACAATAAATTCATAAATCATACTTTGAATTACAATTTTAGAGATCCTGAAATCCTGAAAACACAACCACTAAAGGCATGCCTCTAATATTTTAACATTATAAAACTTTTATCTCTGAATACACTTATTCAGTGTAGATACAACTGACATGTGCAGTACCTCAGGTCTCCCTCCTGTACTGGTTGCAAGCTTGGAGATGGGAAAAGATCATCTAATGTGGCACCTAAAAAGACAGGTATGACAAACCTTGAAATAAAAAAGGCCTGTTTTATCTTTTGCTGGTTTGTGTCCGTCTAACCAAGTTTGGTGAAAACAAAATTGAGCCATATCTGTCTCACAATTACCTTGAGAAACTAGAGGATCAGAGAGGCGATACCGCCTCCGGATATTGTACCACCAGCTGGAGTAAGCAGATTTGTATGGAAAACCAAAAAAAAAGGGGACACCACCACCAGTCTCGTGCTTTACAAGCTCTATAAAATGCAATCAACAAGAGTTCTCAAAAAAAAAAAAAAAAAAAAAAACATAACTAAAAATGGTCCAATCATGCAGATTTTCCAATTGACCTGTATTTTCCTAACATTGATCACTCCTGTGATTTTCTAGACAATAGACCTATTGGTTTTCCTTGAAATGTGTTTTCACTGTTGCATCCGTAGTATACTGACAAAAGAGAAAACNTACCACCAGCTGGAGTAAGCAGATTTGTATGGAAAACCAAAAAAAAAGGGGACACCACCACCAGTCTTGTGCTTTACAAGCTCTATAAAATGCAATCAACAAGAGTTCTCAAAAAAAAAAAAAAAAAAAAAACATAACTAAAAATGGTCCAATCATGCAGATTTTCCAATTGACCTGTATTTTCCTAACATTGATCACTCCTGTGATTTTCTAGACAATAGACCTATTGGTTTTCCTTGAAATGTGTTTTCACTGTTGCATCCGTAGTATACTGACAAAAGAGAAAACACAGGGGCAACACTGGGCATAACTCTGCTAGTTTTGATGATATGAGGAGCAAGAAAATATGCAAAGTTCAGTTCTTGGTGAAAAAGTAGGTCAAAGGTCAATTTCAAGGTCACAGTATATGACTTCCTATTCAAGTTCAATAGTAACCATGGGCATTTCTTTGCCAATTTTGGAGATATAAAGGCCAGAAAACATGCAAGGTGCAGTTCATCATAAAAAGTAGATCAAAGGTCAATTTCAAGGTCATAGTTAGATTGCCAGTATATGGCTTCCTATTCAAGTTCATCAGTAACTTTGGGCGTATCTTTGCTAGTTTTCGAGATATAAAGGATAGAAAATTTGTAATGTTCAGTTCATGGTGAAAAGTAGGTCAAAGGTCAATTTCAGGGTCACAGTTAGATTGCCAGTATGACTTCCTATTCAAGTTCAATAGTAACTATGGTTGTATCTTTGCCAGTTTTGGAGATATAAAGATCAGAAAACTTGCAAAGTGCAGTTCATAAAGAAAAGTAGGTCAAAGGTCAATTTCAAGGTCACAGTTAGATTGCCAGTATATGACTTCCTATTCAAGTTCTATAGCAACTATGGGCGTATCTCTGCTAATTTTGGAGTTATTCACATTTTATTTTCACCACTGAATATTGCATAGTACTTTTTTATATAGCACAGCGCCTTAAGCATATTGAAAACAAAAAAGTGGACACCACCTCCATTATTGCGCTTGACAAGTCCTACAAGTTGCAAAATTCAAAAGGGTTTGTGGCATTTATGGTTACAGAATTAGAGAGAGTTTTCAGTTTCGGTATTTAATGGCTGCTTATCCCATGAAAAAATTCATTGAATGATCGTTGACCCTAAACTCTCAAAGATGAAAGGAGTCCCTGGTTGTAACCCCTCACCATAATATGAGAGCTTAGGTCTGTGTAGTTTCTGAAAATTGGTACAAACAAATATTTTTTTACAGAAAATTCCCTTTTTTTGAAAATTTTGGCTCGTTTGACCTTGAAATAAAGGTCAAAAGTCAAATCTTAGGGCATATTTGAAATCTCCACATATGACTTTCGGTCAGACTTCTGTAGTAATTTTTCTCGTTATTCCTTCGGTTTGGTATTTAGCATTAAATTTTCAAAAATTTTGACAAGGGTGCGTTTCAACAAGCGTCACGCCCAGGCCAAAGCATCGACTGAGACAAACATACCAGGGGGTTCAAGTTGAGATTATATGTGACCTAAATCCAAGAGATGGGGACACAGTTCCTTGTGGTCTAGGAGGAGAAGCGGTAACGGTGACTTGTATCCCACGACACCCTGCGGAGCCAACGGAGCCGGCGGAGGTGTACGAGACGGGTCGGGACTAAAACCATGAGTACCGCCAGCGTACATGCTGGTGGTACTAATTTACTTAAATAGCTTATTAACATTAACTTAGTTTTTCTGCATCACTTGTATAACCTATCCAAACATATTGCCTAGATCCACATAAAGTAGGTCTGATAAGTCTAATCAGGCCTGCAATTTATATTAGGCTACCAGTTTTAGAAGTTTGAGAGGCAGCGGGCCAGCGGAAAAAAAAAAAAAAAAAAAAAAAAGAGAGAGAGAGAGAGAGATAATTCCAATTAATATTCAATATGTAACCCATACATGCTCCATGAACATTGGTCCCATTATTTTTTATGAAAGCCTCCCCCAATCCCCCATAGTACAGAACATATCAGAGTACGCACCATAGTTAATGAACACCCGTGTTAACAGGTTCAGAGAGGGCACCCAGCCTTCAGCATACGTCTTGTGGTGGAGAACTTCATGGAAGATGTTATATGCACCTTGGCTGACAAGTCTGTTAGGGTGGACAGCCACTGAAGGAGAAAGCCAGAGTACCTTTTTTATTTATATAATACTGGGTTTCAATTAAGACAATGTTTTACTGATGGGCAATTTTAAGTGTGACCTTTATGAAATGGGTTCAGTTGAAAACAAAAGACACACACACACACACACATTCCCCATCTTGCTCATGTTCTCAGCAAATGTTAAAACTAAATTCTACTTTCCACCACTCTCCTTTTTTCAGCTTTACAACAATCTTATTAAAAAAAAAAAAAAACATTACACTACAATAACTGTGTACTCACTGAGCTGAAATAGCCACTCCAGAAAGACCTGTGGACATGCTATTGAGCGGAAACACAGCTGAATGACGTCACAGGTCAACATCTCCAGCAAAAGACCTGCAATTGTTTATGCATTTTTAAGTCAAGGGTATATAGTCCTAATGTATAATCTAAATTATCCCTGATGGCACTGTCATATATATTTCCTCTTTATTATACAATGATGTTTTTATGGTGCCCAAGTAATCTTGATTATTTAATGGTGCCCAACTATAATCATTTAAATGAGTTGCTGTCATTTTTCACACAGAAAGCAGTAATAAGCTACAGTATCAATGGCATATGTTCACACCTCAACATACCAATTTAGAGTGAATTGCTCCATGCTGTTGTGAAAAACCTACTTCACAGTCTGGATAATGCAAGGCTATGCTCAGAAATTAATATTAGAGTGATGTGGGAGCCATTGTGCATGTGTGCATATGAATATACATAAGTGCAACATTGTGGATTTTTATGTGTATAAGAATGCATGTGTAAAGAGCTCTGTATGTAGCTCAGAATGCATGTGTATAGAGGCTAGTCTTATAAATGTGAAAGAGATTGAAACTTCAAACCTGGATCACTGGTGCTGCTGGAAAACTTGACAAGGTTCTTATCCACATAGCTTTTCCCTGCTACAAAGCCACAGTTTGGGAGGGTCAGTGTCTCTGGGTAGCTATACAGCTGACCGTATAGCTTGTGGTGAAAAATGGTCTCTCCCGGATGTGTAGGTTTTATCTGCGGGGGGCATGCCATCAACTTAAAAAAAATTTTGGTTTTATTAATTCAGGGCTATATGATCTAATTTATTGGAGAGTATAAGACATAAGCACAAGTACCAGGTATACGCTACATACAGAAGAAAGTTTCTTAAGGAGCTACAGGAGTCAAAATAACTTTAAATATCAACTGTCATTAAAATGAATGCAGCACTCCCTTAAACTTTGAAAATGTCCATATATGATGAAAATATCAAGTGATTATATACATCATTGACAATTATTAAAGCACAGATCAATAACAAAATTCCAGTTTTTCTGTCCAATAAAGCAAGATTCGCAATTGGTTAGAATTACTTGTTTAAAATTTGCCATGTTCAAAACATGAAACTCAATATGCACCAAAACATGACTTAGGTAGAGCAGCTTTAACTGACAAGGTATGGCAAAAATTTCACTCTGACCCACCAAATTTGAGTTAATTTATTCTTCTTTTAAAGTCTTACTGAAAACAGCATCAACAATATCCAAAATATGTATCAGTTCAATCATGTAGTTAGTATTAGTTCTGTACTTACTTTTTCTAACATTTCCTTGTGCTGGGGAAGTAATTCTTTTCACAAAAAAATAAAAAGAATCTTAAAATATATATATATATATAAAAATCTTTGAATATATATATATTGATGAGGTAAATCATGTACCCATACTTTCAAAATATAAGTCTTATACTCTGAGCCAACATATCAATGGTGTAATCTATATCAACATTCACTTAAATACAAATGAGATTGAGGTGTTTTTAAACTGAGAGAGAGAGAGAGAGAGAGAGAGAGAGAGAGAGTTGCAATAAGTCTTAATGTAGAAAGCCCACCTTCTTCCTGCTCACATTCATTTTCTTGATCTACTACAGACTTCATGCCACCCTGACGTATACCTTCCTGGTTATGTGGAAAAAAAAAACAAAAACAAAAAAAAAACATGGACTTGAGGAAAATTTCTCAACTGTCTTTAATCAATAAAAAATCTTTGAATATGTGGATGTGTACAATAACTCAAAATGTACATCATTTATCAAAACATTTTATCAGATTATACTTATCTAGATGAACAGGACAATGAGAGAGATGCTTACAAGCTACACTCACATTTTCATGTAAAATCTTGAAGTAATAAATTATTCAACATTAACATATGCAAATTTTTCATTCAAATGTTATGCCCAAATAAATAAATAAATAAATAAATAAATAAATATATATATATATATATATATATATATATATATATATATATATATATATATATATATATATATATATATATAAACTTACCAATAATTCCCTTTCCATTCTTGACAACTCTTGATTTTCCATTTCCTGTAAGTAAAAACAGAATTATGCCATCATAAAGCAAGACATGTTTGATGTAAATACAAAAATCATTGGCTTAATCATCTCTGACTACCATGAGGGTCTTTGCAAGGATGTCTAACTGATCATATTGAGCACCTGGAATATCTGTTCACATACTTCCCAATAGCAACAAACTTTTGTACCAGCTTTCTATAATGCTTTGACAGAGAGCATTCATAATTCATTTGCAATCAAAACAAAAACCAAGATGTGAACCATTTGCATTCAACCAGCAAGAAAAATACTCTGAATTCATCTTCCAATACCATCATCACTAATTTCAAATACAGGCTTAGAAACATGCTCTTGCACTCTGGTGTATTTAATAATACTTGATATATTGTGCAAAAAAAAATCATGCAGTACAATAAGTTCAATCACCAGAAGAATTCTGGCATATATAAATAAGCAGGCAAAGCCACAAGTGAAAAAATATATTACAGCTTCTTAGAGCACGTTCAGAACAGCAGGATAACGGTGCTACTATGGATCAAATATGGCCACCCCACTACAATGATTATTGCATAATCCCTCCCTCAGCAAAATGTCAGGCCTGCTGCAAATTTGCAGCAATATAGCTGCAAACTGCAATTCCTTCTTGCAAATTTGCAGCAAGTTTGCTGCCATATGGCTGCACATTAGCAGCAAGAATTTTTTTCTTGCAAACTCATGCAAACTCGTTGCTGCAAACGTTAAAAGTGGAGTAAGATCAGCAAACTAACAGATCTGGGTTGATCCCCAAATCTGTTAGTTTGCTGATCTTTCTGCACAATTAGTCAGGATATCTTGGATATATATGCAGTGGAAATCTTAGTTTTATAACAGTTCAAAACCACAACATTAGTTTAAGGGGCCATTCAGAAAAGAAGAACCAGTATCAACTGGTCCAAGGATCAAATATGGCGGATCCCATATGAAAGGAAGACTGCTTAATCCTGTATTGGTCTTTCTGCCTCTCACATGCCTCCCCACGCGTCTGGTCAAATGGAGCCGAGATTTAATTACAGTGCCCCTGCAAGGACAAAGCATGGGGAGGTGTGTAAATCATTGTCATGTGCAATTTTTGTATGCAATCTGATATGCCCATATCTAATTATTATTGGTGTTTTACGATAAGTGATGCAATTATAATGATATTTTGGAGTCCTTAAAGAACCTTCCGAAAACCAGGAAGTAGATCACAACTAACAACTACTGTAAACTGCACCGAACCACAATTTTCAAAATTGTGATGAGTTTTTAGATGGTTAAATATCAAGCTGACATGAAATTCCACAAATATGATCATATTAATCTTTTGAGGGCTTTCCAATGACTTTCTGATGCAAATAAGAGCAATGCATTGTCATTACATCTGTATATACAAAAAATAAAAGACAAGTAATATTTCATAAAAAATTTTGAAACATGAAAAGAATACAATCAAATGCTACTAATTATTGTCTATATTCAGGTTAAAATGATAATATTTGAAATTATTTTTGACAAATTGCTTAGTGATCAAATTCAAGTTTTTTTCAAGGACAAAAATGATTTTTGAAGGCTTTAATTCCAATACTTCTCATGTGGTCACAAACTGAATTGAAGACACAGGGCTAAATTCAAGCACTTTTTAGGCTGTATAACCCCTGCACTAAAATGTCCAATATGTGATTTCTTATACAAGTTCAATAGTAACTATGAGTGTATTTCTGCTAGCTCTGAAGACAGACAGGTGATGTGTAAGATTAAGCTTCTAGATAAAAACAGCCTTATTCTCTTATTAAACCGATTACAATTAATGATAAAATTTCCAAAAAAAGATGTTTTAAATCCTTTTTAAAATGGCTAGAGAATTTAAGTTCAGATTATAGCGAAAAGTAGGTCAAAGATCAATTTTGAGGTCACATTAAGATTACCAATATACAAGTTGCAATTCAAGTTCAATAGTAACCTATGCCAGTTTTAGAGATTTTAGGGCAATAAAATTGGCAAAGTCCAGTTCATGGCAAAAAGTAGGTCAATGGTCAAATTCAAGGTCACATAAGTTTAAAAATTCCAGCCATGTCTCAATTTTGATATACTTCTTTGTGGTGGCAAGACTTCCCACAATATAACTTCAATTATATACCCATATAATCTTGTGCAACATAATACATTATGTATGAATTTCCTCTTTTGTAGGACGCGATCACAAAAGTACATACCTTTGCTTCGTAAGGCTTGGAAACCTGATGTTTTAGCCAAATTTCTAATCCCTTGGAGGATGTGCAGTCCCTGTTGTTATTAATATTTACCATAAAATAGTTTAATAGAGTCAGACTCTTTGGTTAAACATTTAGGTTGTATTGTGCTGCATGTGTTAATATTTTTTTACCTTTCCTGCATAAATTATTCTAGTGGAAGCCAGGACCGTCTCACTGGTCTAAATCCAGGTTAGAACTGGGTCAGTGCACAAAGGCTAACACTTCTAATATATTCAATATTATCTAAGTTAAAGAATGTTGCTGCAGTGGTAATTTCATTTAGTGGATGAATTTTAAATAAATAAAGTTGCAAATAAAATTTTAGGGCAAGAGGATGTGTGAAAACAGTGGGAGAAAGACTTTTTGTCAACAATTAACCTTAAGTTACTGATCATCAGCTGCAAGTTCATGTGTGGAGTACAGTTTAAGCTGTGAGAGTGATGGTCACATATGTTATTGTTAACACTGCCATCAATGGTACAGTGATGGAATCTTATTTCTGTGAATGTGACCTCACTTGGCATGCAGGTAATTCACAATGGGTAGAGAGAATGGGAGTTTGGTGCAGAAATGAAGGAAAAATAACAAAGGTCTTCCAAGGATATTATTTCGTCTTTTTAATCTGTTCGGTTAAATTACTGAAGAACAGTGCCAATTTACCACATTTTGCATGTCACCTAACCTAGCTTACAGTCACTTAACTTTCCTTCACAAAACTCATGACGCATTATGTTTCACTCTTATTAGTAAAAAATACCGGTAGACCCCACTTCTTGCTGGTTCTCAAACCTTTTCTAGTCTACCATGTTTTCAAGCACTGCCTTTAACCCCAGTTTCAGCTTACTTAGACATGACCTACGAACAGCTGCATATGCAGGTGAACCATGTAATTCACCAAGGTTACATCAAGTCTTTAGAGTGCATGCCATATTTATTTGCATTATTTTCCCTGCTATTCAAAAGTAAGATAGGGTAATCAGTAATCTCTTGCAAGTAAACTACGGTAATGTGCCATGAATTTCGAACGGCTCTTAAATTTCGAACGATATTAAAATCGGCCGTCTGGTGTTTTTTCAGGACCATGAATTTCGGCCAGTGAGCAATTTTGCGCGATCTTGATTTCGTGAATTTGGTACACCTTAAAATCGGCCACCGGGCTATTTTCATGCTCATAAAGATCTAACAGTCGGCAGTGTTGCCCTTGCGTACTACATGTGCGGCCCAAGGTGCAAGATAACAATTGGTACAGTTAGTTTAGGACGCTAAACAACATCGTCATCACCATTCATTCAGATAACAGGAGAATCTATTAAGAGTTGTACTATCGGGCTGTTGTTTCTTTACCGCAGTACTCAGTGTGAGGTAGCGATCGGCAGTTTTGCTGAGGCGCACAATAGCATTGTTAACAGTAGAGACTTCAGTAACAGAACAAAAGAAGCAATATTAAGAGCTGCAATAAAGATTTCCATTATTGCTTTCTTGTCTCGCTCAGATCATTCACGATCTCCCGCTGAAGATCTTCCGCTAATGAAGTCCTTTGAAATGTACAAATGAGATGAAAAATATCTTAAAAAATTATAAATTTCAATGGGGAGGGAAAGTTAAAAACAATCGATAACGATCTTCCACTGACGCTCTTTCGTGAACGAACTCCCTTGAATGAATATGAAAATTGCCTTCTCATCTCGCTTAGATCGAGAACGATCTCAGGCTGACGATCTTCCTCAAAAGAAAGCCACTGAACGAATATGAGCTTTCTCGTTTCGCTCGGATTGCGAACGATCTCCCGCTGACGATACTAAAATTGCGTTCTCGTCTCGCCCTTTGGCTTATGAAGTCTCTTTAACAAATATGAAAATTGCCTCCTCGTCTCTCTCGGATTGCGAACGATTGAAAATTGCCTTTTTGTCAATCAGTTTTGTCAGTTGCCGTGCGTATGAAGGTCCGGAAGGTGTCCCCTTTCACAAATTGGCGGTTAGTTTGCTTAGAATGTTTTGTACCGCATGAAGGTCACTCTTGTCACTACTGCATACGGCGTGGAATATGTATCTTAAAGTTAATAGAAACATTTTATTGTGTTTTGTAGGCTTTAGGGAGTAGTTTTGTCATGACTGAATATCAGCGTACACTTTAAAGTAGTATCAATCATCTGTGATGCATCATAAAAGCTGGGTACGTCAAATTACTTTAAGAAAATTTCTTACAACGTCCACGGCTGTCCCGACAAGCCGTCATTTTTTTTTAAAAAGTCGTAAGCCGTCTTGCAGTCTTTGAAATTAAAGGCTGTCCGGTAATGTCAGCGGCCGTCCAAATGACGGCTGGACAGTTCACTGGGAAAAGCCTTGCTCATAACGGTATATTTATTTAACTAGGGGCTTACTGACACAAACTTTGGGCACTTATATAGATTATGCCTGCTTGTATCGAGCTAAATTCTGAATAACGGTGAGGTACTGCTGTTTGATGTGGTTTGTTGTACTTATCCTGAGTTCTCAAAAAATAATCTGAAAAACAGAACGCTCGGATCATTGTATTATTATAACGCCTTCTTGTTATCCACTTCGTGATATCCACTTCATGGTCGGCTTTTCTAGGTTGAACTTATATATGACATCACCCAGCTTACATGCGGGTGCATAGCTCCCAAAATCGACCAATTATATTAAAGAATAAAGTTCTAATACGTCTTAGTTTAATTGTTTGTACATTTTGTAAAAATTGCCCATGTTAGTTTGGAGGGTTAAGCTGGATCAAGTCCGTGTCAAGATTCTTTGAAGCTTTGCAAGAAAAATCAATCTTCATTTGTTTCTCTGGCTCCTTGTTTAGCCCGATGATCAGATTTATCTAGTGCCCCCAGGTTTGCTGGGGCAGCTCTTTGAAAATAACGCACAGGTAGATTTTTACCTGAGATAAATATCGCCAGCAAGACAAAGACTACCTGTGTGCTAAAGGGCACTTTACCATCTAATTAAGAGGTAAAGGAAGTTCCAGCTGGTGGACGATTAAGATCGGACTTCTGATGGTAACTAGCATTGTTTACCTCAGATTTGTGAAAGCAAACGAGAAGGGGTGTCAGAACAGTGGTGCATATATAAATTATACAGAGGATTTGTAAATTCAGGTGACGTTAACTTACAATCGAAGGGGATTTTCGATAATATTCCTTGAAAATTGCACTAAATTTATAGAGAATAATATCATGGTTGGCCAAAAAATTGTACGCACAGTGTATCCTTGCGTATGCCTGGTTACGCCCCTGTGACGCAAACCATTTCCCGCTAACAATATGGAAATTGCCTTTTAGCATGGACAAAAAGTCCAAGTTTCTAGGCTTGCTCGCATCTCTGACGATCTCTTGTACAGTATACAGTAACGAAGTCCCTTGAACTAGTGTGGAAATTGCCTTATTGTCGCGCTCAGATCGTTCACGATCTCCCATTGACGATCTTCCAGCTCCTTGAACGAATATGAAAATGACCTTTCTGTCTCGCTCAAATTGTTAACGAACAGATGATAACTGCCTTTTCGGTTTAATGTAGATTACCTATCACTCGCGTATTTGTTTGAAGGTGGTTTAAATGACAAAATGTACACTCTTTTTAGATGTGTACACTGGCGCAACTATGTGCCAGGAAATCAGTTGCGTTATCGAAAAGCTGCTGGTCAAGATCGGGTTGCCTGGGTGAAAATGGTAGACATCAAGCCCTGCACTCAGCCCCCCCCCCCCCCCTCCCCCCCCAAACTAGTGTATTTGATCGCAGACAACAATCAGCGGTCAACTTGGTCGCAGCGCATGGCGGAGAGAGACCGTAATACACAGTTCGGCTGCCGTGATGAAGGTTACCGCCGCACATACCGATCTGCGGTCTTAGTGGCCTCCCTGCACGGTGGAGAGGCCGTAATGCCAAGGCCGGCTTCTGCAGTGAAGGCGACGTATGCGTCGAAGACACCGACCCGCGCACGGCAAGATGAGGACGCACTCCCGCGTAAAACTCCGCCCTATTTCAACGGTAATCGCAGATAAAGGCTACTTGTACGTGCGACATAGACACCGATCGGCTGATGTCTCGGTTTCAGCGCACGGAAAAGAGCAGCGGTAACACTAAGCTTCCACAGTAAAACTTATCTGGCCGTGGTAGACTTTAATCGCCTGCCATCTCTCCCTCCGTCCACTCCCATTCTGAGCGCCAAGATCGTTTTCGAAAGACGACACTAGTTTCTTGCTGCCAGAATCGAGAGAAAAACGACACTACTAATAACGATGCTGTTTTGCGTCCCTAGCCAACAATACTGCTCGTTATCTAGCACCTTTGGCCGTACACAGTGATTGGGTGAAAGTACGTGTATCCCTTTGGTCGCAATTACCGACACTCACACACCATACATTATGGTAACTCTAAATAGATCGTCGGGAGAAGATAACAGAAGGCATAGCGACGAACAGACAACTTCCGGTCAAAATTGACAGAATTCCATGAAATTCGTACGTTTGGAAGTTCTGAGCACCTCCATTTCATGAATTTCGGCCAAAACGATCTTTTCCTAAATTTAATTATTTTCTACTGATCGAAATTCATGGCACATTACCGTAGTAAATATGGTCTTTATCATGTATTAGTTGAATCTAACATATTTGTTTATCTTCTTTTATGTCACAAACAAATACCAAGATAAATGTTTATTACCTTTTCTGTCTTCTCCTCCAAGAGTCCATCTAAGGAAAATAGGTAGTTTGGAGAAGCCACAGTAGGAAACGCTATATCTCTTGTTGGAGAAGGGTCATCTTCAAGCTATAATTAAGTTGATATAATGTACAGTAAAAAATTGAAAATTTCGTCACTTTAAAATTAATGAGTATCTTTAAATGCCTGAATTAGACGTGGCCATATTAGGTGACAAACTTTTCAAAATTTTCAAGAGGCCCATTTTCAAGTTTGATGAAATTTTCAGAGAAAAAAATTATATTGGCAGAGAATTGTCTTATGAAAACATTTTCAAACCCCGACTAAATTTTCAAGTTTTTACCGTATGTGAAAAACACTTGCTCTAGAACTACATGTATACACTTCACATTTATGTCACCCATATGCAGCTTTACCAGCATATCAGGTTACTGTCAAAGCTGAATTGTATATTCCAAATAAATATTGCCATTCACAACACAGTATTAGCAACCTGTGTGCCAAGATAAGTACATCTGTCCATTAATAATCAATCTTCATGACCGAACCAATCTTCTTTATGTTCATCATACAAATGTCCATAATTTACAGCAATTTCAATCCAACATGCAAAGCATAAACAAACTGTTTTGTGTAGAAGTCAATCAGACATGCTATTTTAATGTCAAGGTAGAATCTAAAATTCAACATTTCTACTTGAAAACATACCTCTAAGTCTTTGGTAGGTGTACCAGGCACAGGTCTTGTGCTAGAATTAATTATCAACATCAAAATAAATGTGCAACCGATTGTTAAATTATTAAATAGTAATCACACTTAAGAAAAACTTAATACCAACTTAACTGTTAAGGTCTTTATTTTTTAAACCTGTTATTTGAAGTTTAAGAGAAGATGTAGCCATTATACAGCTCCTCAGGTGTTTAATACTTGTGCTGCAAGTTAGCAGGTTATCTTGAAATTGCCACATATGATAATTTAGTGGCACTGGTCCCAGAAAACAAACTGACAACTGAATATTGTAAATTAAGGCTTCCAGAATCTTAACATGTAAAACAGGCGCAAACCAGTTTCCCAATAGCATGTTTTAAAGACACCTTATCCAAGCCCATCAGAGCAAATTTCTGCTCCTTTTCATTCCTGTATAGGTCATAATATTTGCATATTTGTTTTCACCATGTCTTTATATTCATAAAATGAAATCTGGCAAACCTGGCTTCTAAGATGGAAAATGGCACTTGAGGTAAATCCTCATCTTCATCTGAATCACTGCCATTAGGGCTGTCAGTGTGTGTTAGATCTAAAAATAATATAAAGGTACAAATGAAACAAGAAAAAAGAAAGCATAGATGTTCTAGTCTCCAAAACAAAAAATTTCTAGTCAGTTAACACAGGCTAACAAAATTAGTTGTTTTTTTTCAGTCAAATAAACCAATCATTGCCATTAGCAAGGGACAATATACCTTTTTGTGAATCATGTTCCATTAACAATAACAAACTTTCTTAACTATATCAATTACAGTTGTGACAAAAAAATATGATAAAAAACCGAAGTGAAGTTTTAATAGTCACAATTCTTGTAAATTCTGAAACTGATACCTCTCCACCAGCTGCACACATAAACATACAGTAAATGTCTGCAAAATCAATAAACGGAGCAACACAGTCCTATCACATAAGAATACATATAAATGTAAACTACATTTTAAATGCTACATTACCTGCCATCTTTTAAAAAGGTTGCATTTCCTCTCAGATAAAATGCAAAGTCATATCACGATTTTCCAGCTAAGTACTTTCTGCATGCTACATTGTGCATTCGAATGCACAGTCATATTAAATTTTGCAGTCTGTCTAAGCTTTGCGTTTGACCAAACAGACTTATGCTTATCAGTCCACATTGCAGTGTAGCTCTATTGGACAACCTTTTTCAATTACGAGAAATGGGAATGTTGCATGTGCAACCTCAATGCTCAATGACCAAGTCTTAACAAGTGCTTCACTTTAATATCAAAACTCTTAATAATACTACAATATTGAAGCACTGCATGCATGCTTGAGCATAGCTTCACAAAACCACCATCCATTTTGAATTTTTCTCTAATATTATCAGTTGTTACAAGGAAGTTACAAATGTATGTCTTATCAAATATCAAAGTATGATGCTTCAAGGAAATGCTGCTTTTGATGCAGGCACTTATGTATAAGTTATATTATAATTAAAGTCATAATATCTTCGCGTTTTATAAGTGCAAAGCATATTCTCATTGGTTACATTCAGTTCTATACCTAGCAAAAAAGGCAGTAGCAATATCCTCCTTTAAGAAATATTTTTGTTATTATTTTTCTTCTTTCATCCTGCCCCAAACATCAGTTAAACATGAAAAGGAAATGTTTGTAACTATAAATGTGGTCTTAAGACAGGTTGGCCTGTGGCAATGCAAAGTACTTTTTAATGCTTTTCTACTGGTGCATGCAGTAATTTAAGTGCACTCCAATGGCAAAGAATATATGTTACTAAAGATAGTGCAAGATTATTAGTGAAACATTATTAGTGTCAATCAATTCAGGCTCAAGTAGCATATTAAAATGGATGTATGCAGTATAAAAAAGATCCCAACAGAACTTGTATACAGAAGCTTTAAAGAAATGATACAACAGCCACACACAAACCAAAAGGTCCAAAACCTAACCTGAATAATATCATTCAGGTCACTGAATTATTTTTCATTCATCAGACTGGCCTTAGTGTTCAACCATAAAAGAATTATAGTCATGAATATAATCTGGCAAATGACAAAATTTATTTGTAATAATACACACACAAAATAGCTATGCTATGTGATCCATAATTTCAAACAAAAATCCAACCCAGCATATTATAAGAAAATATTCAAATAAAGGAAATTATTATACTTACCAAATGAATTGTCCATGAAACCAGCCTGATTGTGTTGTTTTCCTATAAAAAGATTAAATGTGCATATATGGAAGTCAATATAAAAACACGACTAGTTTAGTGCCAGTGCCCCAACAACAATATCAAATTAAAGTAAATCTAGTTTCTGTTGTAAAGTACAGCCATACCGTGCCCCAATTAACTGCATATGCAGCCAGATTTTTCTCTTGCCTTGAAATAACTATACTTGTGGGAAAGGAATCAAAACTCTTTTTTTGTGAATTTTCATTCGTGCATTAAACCTACTCTTCCATTATGTGCATTACTAACTAGGCCATCACTTCACCCACCTGCTGCCTTTAATTCTTAGCTCAGAGTCATTTCACAAGATCTGCAACGTATTTTCTTCATTTTTTATCTGGGTCAGCAGACCTCAAGAGGTGCTGATCCATCTTTTTATTTATTAACATGAAACTTAGCTTAAATAGGCACTATTCTTTGATGAGCTACTATACGTATAAAAACCCCTAGTATATCTCATTTTTTGAAAAAAAAAAGAAAAAAAATCATACTGCCTAACATATATGGCCAACAGACTGTTTCTACTCTTGTACAACATGAGTATGTCACACTTAAGTAAATACTCAAGGCACTTAAGGCTGATAAGATTTTATTGATCCAGCTAAAAAAAAAGGTCTTAGGTCCATGGTTATACCAGAGTATCCCCCATAAAAATTGCCAAATGATTTAAAGCTGTCATTCTTATTGACTTTTTTAAAAATTTCTACATTATTGATTGTAAATGTTTTTATCTTAAAGGTAACATCAACAGTAATTTACCCATGTTTTGTTTCCTCATTGCATTAGTTGTTCCCTTGGATATGCCACTGAATGTGTTGGAGTCCACTGTTTCAGGGCAAGAGTCAGAGGCTTCTGCTTCTCCACCCCTTTGCAACTTCTGTGGAGTCCCTATAGCAGATTTTGTCAACAGTCTTAATTTACTCAAGGCAGACTTAAGGTTGTCTGGCTTTAACCTTTGAACGATAGGATCTTTGTTGGTTTTCCTGGTGGTCATTTCTGAGGTCACTCCATCTTGGTGTCCATCCTCAGACCCATATGAGGGACTATCACCACCACTTAAATTACTGCCACCAAATTCTGCTTCGATCATGGCAAATGAGTTTGTTCGTTCAACTGTCTTTGATGATGGTAGTTGTGCTTGTCCACCATCAGCAGCTGCTTTTTCTTTGTTTGACTTTTCTTTTTCCAAACTAAAACTGTTTCTGCGACTTGCCTCCAGAGCTTGTGCAATGTGCTCTGGTAAAGCAAGGGGGGAAAGGAGTTTCTTTGGCATGATTTCTTGCATTCTCTTCATGTTGCTGCCATGCAGATCACCTCTAGTAGTGTCTGAAGAACAATGGGAAGGTTCACCTTTAAATTGCTTGCCAGATTGTCCACCATGTCGGTCTTGAAAATATTTAACCTTCTGCAAGTCACTGCTAGGGTGTCTGAACCTTTTTTTTCCTTGAATTCCCTTACTTTTGGTTTTACCATGCTCATAACTGTGGTGTCTCTGTCTTGAACTGTGTTGGCCAATTTTTGATTCTAATGAATGATTTCTGACAGAAATGCGACTTGCGGCTTTGGGCTTGGAACTTTGCTCTTGTGGGGGAAACTCAATGGTATCTGTCAAATACACTGTCTGTGAAAATTGCTCATGCTTCTGTTTGTCAATGATTTCCCCTTCTGATGCTGGGGACATGTTTAGAAAATGACTTAAAATGCCATCTGTTACAGGTTTTAGTTCAGATGAACCATCCCTTTCAGAGGGCTGTCCAGTAGTCTCCACAGATTTACCAGTCATCTTTTCACCATACACTGAGCTGTTTCCGATGTTGATACGACCGTTTGGACTTTTTTTCGGCACAATTTTACTTATGTCTCCATCTTCAGACAAATCGCAAAGTCCTTGGTCTGAGTGATCTTGACATAGTTTCTTGGAAACATCCTCTCTGTCATTATTACTGAAGTTTATATGTTTCATGGTCAGCAAGGCATTCTGAACTGATGAGGTTATATCTTCACCAGGACTGGTTTCCCTAGACATGTCACATTTTGAATTAGCATCTCCTCTCTCTTTTTTACTGGGACCTGCATCTATACTATGTAGATGACGCTGATTGGAAACATCTTGTCCTTGATCAAGTTCCTGGAAACCAGCAGATTTCACATCACAAGCTGCCTGAGCTTGATGACAGCTAATTTTGGGTAAATTTATTTCACTATTGTGCACCAACATCTCTTTGCTTTTATTTTCTTCTCCTTCATTAAAAATCTGTGGTGATACCTTGGGATTATCCCCGGAGCCTAACAAATCTGGAGTATACCTCTTCTTTTCTCTAGCCTGGCTGCTGCTTGGTAAATCCAGTTCCATTATGGCAAGTTGATTCTCTGTATCTTTTTTCTTACAATCTATACCACTTGTGCTACTGGTATGTTTATCATGCTTAAAAAATTCTGATCTGTGCTCAATATCAATATTTTCATTTGAGGGCATGACAGTTGTATTTTCATTCAATGGAGACTTGCCACATGTGGGTTGTTTCTGCTTATCACTTAGTAAAGCATGTGAACAAGGCATGGGGGCATAATAATCATCAAAGATATAATTAGTCTCTGTTTCTGGATGCCGTATCTTATAGAGTTCTCTGTTTTTTTGTTGATAGTGATCTACATAATTTACATCCAACCCATATTTTTCACAGTTGTCATTCAGGAAAGTCTGCGTCACGTTATCATATTGATATGTTGCCAAGTTTTCAGCACTGAAGTAAGGGGTCCAGAAGGGTTGCCTGTAGTAGTCTATATCTGAGCATGTGTCCAGAGACTGGGAAGTGTAATTTCTATTCCTGACATTTTGTCTGAAGGGGTCCAAAAGGTTAGAAGATGTAGCAGTATGAACTGATGTTCTTCTTTGTGAATGCCAAGATAATCGCTTGTGGTTACTCGACTTTCCTATAAAAGAAAAGGACATCAAATAATTTTTCAGATTTATCATCAGATTCATTCATTCATGCAGAAGGCTGTTGTGGATAACAATTACACACCACTAAAGACAGCATGGCTGACTTACAATCAAGGCACCAAAGAAATAGTCAAATATCAATGTAAAATAAATAAAATGTAAATAATAACACTGGGAATAAAAAAATCATTTATGAAAGACTTAATAAATTCCTGATCATTAATTTCAGAAATCAGCGGGACGCACTTCAATTGTATACATCAATGATGAACCAGTGAGTTAAACAGTTAAATCACATAAAAGAAAATTAAAATTAAATAAAAAAGTCAAATAAAAGTATGACAATATTGACCAAATTTATAGTGTAAATTGATCAATTATATCACACTTTCAAAAAAAAGTTTTAATTTTTTCCAATACCTGATTATCTTAAGATTCATCATTGAAATAACTTGCTGAAATATATAACAGCACATGAACCATACTGGCATTTAAAAAATGTGTATACCTTCAAGTAGTACTACTAATTGATTGTTTTCATAAATATAAGTACTGGTGATCAATTTTGCTCTGAATTTAATGATTGCATGTCATTAGTACTTTAGAATATAGACTTATTGTGCCATACCTCTTCTAAAAGAATGCTTGTTCATCATTGATTTGACATCACTTGATGCACCTGTAACTACACTAGCACTAAAGGGAGAGCAAAGCTCTGCACCAACTACTGGAGTATGGACAGGGTCTGCACATCTGTCAAAGGACAGGGAGTTACTAGACTTGCAGAAAGAACTTGTATCACATGCAATTACTGATGCTTCTGAATCTCCCCCTAACCTGACTCTCTGTTTATAAGAAGCACCTATGAATAACAAGAAAAAATCTAAAAACAGTCAATTTTTTATTTCTATGTACTGGCAGTTTGGTTAAAATACTGAGGATTTATGCAGTTTCAAAGCATATTTCTGGGATTTTAAAAATTTCTACAATGAACAAATATAACAATTTTTTAACAATCTTTCTTTAACATTCTTAAGAGGTAAGATGTTAAGACCTATTGCTTTGACTTTGAAGGACTGAGACCTATACCCAAGGTTATATCTGTACCCAGGGTTTTGTCACACAAAATATCATAGCAATACATTCCAAGTGCGGAATAAAATTACAAGAAAGGATTAGATAGAGAACAGTTGATATCAAACAAATAGGGCAGCATGCAAGGAAGCAAGGGGAGATGTTTTAAGTGTTAACTAGGTTCAGAAGATGCAGATAAACATAGCCACAGACATAGAAGATAGTCTGTTATGTATGAAAGTACTGCATTGGTAATAAAAAATACTGAATAGCTTTGCAAAGCATACTTCGTTGTGACACTCCAATAATATTTGACAATATCATCAAGCAATACCATAATCACCTTGATGTGTTAATGCCTTGAAAAACTTTGTAACCTTTTGTACTCTGAAAATGTGCAGAAAGTGAAATGCAGTCAAACAGTGTTTTAAGAAACATTTTAAAAAATCAAAAGAAAAATACCAGTTTTGGGTACTAATATCACCTAATATCACCTAATAAACCAATATCACCTGAGGACCAGTTATCCTTACCCTACAAACCTTAACATAATGTCAAAGAATTTTCCATTCAATGTTAATAACTATCTTTCTTTTTTTACCTTAGTGAGAAAATTTCTGAGCTCACCATATTGGCTGGGTGATTAAAATACTGTTTCAATTCAAGAAAGAAATTCTAATTGCTATCTAAGACCAGCATGTTTTAAAAAATACATTTTGGTGTACACCTGTATTGTTTCCAATTTCTGAAAAACTATGGGTCTCAGGCAAAACATGTACAGTCAAATATGGACCTCTGTGACTATTTTGTTGCAATGCAGAGCTATATGCACACTTGGCTGTCACCTTGATTGTATAGTAAATGATTGTTGTAAAATCGCTATATGATTAATACTCTATTTTATTGTCTCTATGGGGGTATAGGGGGACTTTACGACATTCGGTTTGAATGCTTTAACCACTTTTGATAGGGCTTTTTGCATTGTATTAGATTAATGTGGCAGTCCAAGGTTGTTCTAGGTGGTTTTCAAATTTATGCACCCGGTTTTAAAATCATATAGCGATTTTACGACAATCGTTTACTATCCAATCAACATGACAGCCGAGCGTGGCTACATGCTAGGACCTACTACTTGAACTGCCCACAAACAAGACCCACATCTTCCTTACAGTTCAATGTAAAGCTAAAATGATTTTAAAATTGATTCAAAATACAAGACAATTTGGCAAAAATTGAAAATAGCGACCTAGTGTTGTCAGTAACCCACTAACCAATGATACACCACACGCTTCTAACCATTTGAAAAAAGACCATCATTCTGTAATGGAATATTTTTAAGGATGCAGTATAATCCCCGGATGATTTAAAATTACGACAACAAGCTTCAGGCCTGCAAAAACGGATGCCTACATGTTGTCACTTCACCCACTGTTACACTGATGCCACGAGTGACCAAACTAAAACCAAAGTAGCGTTTTCATAAATAAATAAGTCTCGGTAAGAAAGGGATGGTTTTGGCAAATATATCGTATTCTCGACTGGTTTTATGATCAAGTTAATGAGGAAATGCAGCAATGATTTCTTACCCTTTAGACTGTTCACGTTTGCGCTTCATTATTATCAGCAACAATTATTTTACAGCACTATGATTTAAAAGGAAGTTTTGTCATCCCGCCATCATGTCAATGAAACTAGGAAATAGTAGTGAGTGGAACAGAAAGACTATTTTTCTCAAATAAATAATTGTTTTATTATGATGCCAAAAAGTGATAAAAATTCCAACATATAAACAAAAAGTATTTATTGCAGATTGTCAGTGACACTTTAATTTTTATCATAAGAACATTCCGTATAAAGTGCCTGTTTTTCTATCCAGCCCTATAAGCGGAAGTGAAACACATCAACATGGATCCGCTGATCTACATTGCAGCTGCAATATGTGTGACTTTACTCCTGTTCTTCGTCACTCGATTTAGAAAATCATCCACTAAAGGTAAGCTATTTTACTACTCTAAACCAAGAAAAGTAAAAAAGTACTAGTTTTAATGGTAATGCCTAAAGCATTCTTGAGTCTGACTATGATTTAAAAGGAAATGGACGTGCGAGGGACGTGAAATATTTTTGGTACACAGATGCAGCATTACCAATTGCATTGAAAACTTGTTCTTTACTAGTCAGGTATTGGCGTGACATCAGTGTTGCACAATCAAACTTTATACTTAGACTAGGGGACCGTTTAGAATGATTTTTGTCGATCTGTCTAATTTGCACTAACTTCACGCGGACTATTGCTGAATGCAATTAGTTTAACTGATTAACGCGCCTGATCTGAACTTATAATCACCTTAAGATAGTCTTAATTTACCTGGTGTTAGTCTTAAATCACTTGGTGACAATATGTTTAAAAAAACGACTCAAATTAATCTCTTGGTCAGCTGAAAAAAAGAGGCTCTCAAACTGCACTTTCTTCAAAATTCTGGTTGTAAATTTTACCTACTTATCTTCCTTCTAGTGCATAAAGCATAGAAAGTAAGCCGGAAATATCTGCACAATTATCATTTTTTTGGGGGAAAATGTATTGAAACTAAGTGGTATTTTGTTTAAGTTACACTATTTGAAACTTCAGTTGGGTTTCATGGCAATAATTTTACATAAGCACTTGTTTTATCTGCATCTTTGATATTTAATTTTTCAGTCTTTTTGCTAGCCCTCAATTGATGCAATGTTTGTAGTGCAATGCAATACAGGAGCAGTCTTATTTTGTCAGTAAAGGTGCTTATTTGCACATTTTCAAATAACAAAGTATCCCCATCAAATCTGTCCTGCCATTTTATTTGGGGATTATATCTCTAAGATGAAATGATGCCTTGCCTACAATAAGTATAAGAAAGCCACATAATCCTTTTGACTTCTTGAAAATGGCAAAATGATTATATATTGAACCAAAAAAATCATGCCTTACCAATTTTCAGTCTTGATCATGTTTTTAGGTGAACATGGTGCTGTTAGACCTGTGGCTGTTCCAAGAGCTGCACCTCGTGCACGCGCAGACATGCCAGCAGGAGCTGCTGCAAGAAGACGTGGAAGAAATCGCATGGCAGCTGCTAGACAGAGAAATGATGATTCAGGTTTTTCTTTTTATGTACAGACACAGATGTGTCTGTACATATTGCCATCACCTGCGTCTGTCGTCGCCGATCATGTCGCCGTCGCCGTCGCCGTGCACTTTCAGCGTTAACACCNCAATAAAATGGACGTGCGAGGGACGTGAAATATTTTTGGTACACAGATGCAGCATTACCAATTGCATTGAGAACTTGTTCTTTACTAGTCAGGTATTGGCGTGACATCAGTGTTGCACAATCAAACTTTATACTTAGACTAGGGGACCGTTTAGAATGATTTTTGTCGATCTGTCTAATTTGCACTAACTTCACGCGGACTATTGCTGAATGCAATTAGTAACTGATTAACGCGCCTGATCTGAACTTACAATCACCTTAAGATAGTCTTAATTTACCTGGTGTTAGTCTTAAATCACTTGGTTACAATATGTTAAAAAAACGACTCAAATTAATCTCTTGGTCAGCTGAAAAAAAGAGGCTCTCAAACTGCACTTTCTTCAAAATTCTGGTTGTAAATTTTACCTACTTATCTTCCTTCTAGTGCATAAAGCATAGAAAGTAAGCCGGAAATATCTGCGCAATTATCATTTTTTTGGGGGAAAATGTATTGAAACTAAGTGGTATTTTGTTTAAGTTACACTATTTGAAACTTCGGTTGGGTTTCATGGCAATAATTTTACATAAGCACTTGTTTTATCTGCATCTTTGATATTTAATTTTTCAGTCTTTTTGCTAGCCCTCAATTGATGCAATGTTTGTAGTGCAATGCAATACAGGAGCAGTCTTATTTTGTCAGTAAAGGTGCTTATTTGCACATTTTCAAATAACAAAGTATCCCCATCAAATCTGTCCTGCCATTTTATTTGGGGATTATATCTCTAAGATGGAATGATGCCTTGCCTACAATAAGTATAAGAAAGCCACATAATCCTTTTGACTTCTTGAAAATGGCAAAATGATTATATATTGAACCAAAAAATCATGCCTTACCAATTTTCAGTCTTGATCATGTTTTTAGGTGAACATGGTGCTGTTAGACCTGTGGCTGTTCCAAGAGCTGCACCTCGTGCACGCGCAGACATGCCAGCAGGAGCTGCTGCAAGAAGACGTGGAAGAAATCGTATGGCAGCTGCTAGACAGAGAAATGATGATTCAGGTTTTTCTTTTTTGTTGATGTATTTTTCTAAAAGTTATAAACCTAAAGCTTTTAAGCAGGTGACTTTTTCAATTTCATATTCTTATTTTGTGAGTTGCTGTTTTGAAGTATATTGGTACAAACAAATTAAAACATGTTCATGTTCATTTTAGAATTCAAGTTTCAATTTTGTTTCAAAAAAGTGATGCATATTGTAAAAATAAATTACTATGCTTCATATATAATTTTTTAAATCATAAAGAAGGTCAATAACCAAACAAAAAATGTGATATATATCTAAAATATTTTATCACCTGATTTATTCTTTGTATTAATTCCCTTCAGATTATAATGAAGATATGGATGAGGAAGACATATTTGATCAAATAGCACAACCAGAAGGAAAAGTTGGTGCCAAGAAGTTGAGGAAGCTCCAGGACAAGGCTGAAAAGAAAAGTCAGAGAGAGGTAAAATTTCTTTTTGTAAACAAAATAAGTTTTCATTATAGTGGTGCATATTTAATAAAAATGGTGAAATTTGAAAATTAGAGGTTAAAAAAAAATAGTAACATTCCCCACTAAAGTTGTGTTTTTTGTGCACATTCAAATTATATTTATATGATTTATTCCATACATGTTTTCTCCTTTGCAGGCAGAAGAACGAGAAAGGCAGGAAAGAAAGGAAAGGGAGCAGAAATTAGAAGAACTGAGAAAGAAAGAAGAAGAAAAGCGTCTGGCAGAAGAGAAAATCCAGGTGAAAACCTTATTATGAGTTTGTTACATTCTGTCACATAAAATGAAATTAAAGCAAACACAACACATGATATCAGTTCCCACAAATTAAACCAACTTTGGCTGTGAAATACTGAAGGGAATACTGCAAATCCCATTTAATTTCGTCACAACTTCACACTTTTCACCCACCTATTAAATTGGGCAGTATGGACTGGAGAGCTATTATGGGTCAATGTTGAATGAGTTCATTGTTGAATTCTTTTTTCTTTTTGCATAGAATACAATTTTACATGCACCTCATAATCCTAGAAAATGATAAAGAACAGTATACTTAAATGTGTGTTCACTGATAACAGGAAGAAGAAGAGAAAAAAAGAAAAGAAGAGGAAGCACAGAGAGAGCATGAAGAGTACTTGAAAATGAAGGAACAGTTTTCTGTGGATGAAGAAGGATTGGAAGAAATGAACTTCGAGACTAATGTGAGTGTTCCATACCACATTCGGTTCTACATAATAAAGGATTAATCCAAGCCATTAGTAACAAGGACTTGTGATTTTATTTGTTAAATCCACCCTTGAAAAATTATTATAAAGCTTTTAATGAACTTAAAATTTCCAAAGTAAATCATGAGAATGTCTTATTAAAGGTTGCTTAATTTAGTAAGCTACTGTATCTTATGAAAAGTACTCCTACATAAAGGTGGATGTGTTTACTAACACCCCATTTCCATAGATTTTTAGATCGATCTATCCCTGTGGGGAGTCTCACTAGATTACTGTCAGCTTGGCCGGCTTAAGCGTCTGTCCCGCCTACTAAAAGCTGTAAGGGGGTAATTAACTATGGTGCCCGCTCGGCTGACTGCAATTTAGCATGAACCCCCAGGGAGTTAGGTCGATCTAAATTTTAATCTCTAGATCGATCTAAATCTCTGGGAAAGCACCCTTATATGATAATTCATTTTTTCCATCAGGAGGAGTCCTTGTTACAAAGTTTTGTCAACTATATAAAGGTGGGTGAAAATTTTTGAATTTCCATTTCATAATGACTATTATTGTTAAAGGTCTTTATGATCAATTATATTTCATTACATACTATGTTTTCTACTTGTTTTAAATCTTTTCCTCTAAAGAAAATTCTAGAGGAATGTTTGCTATATTGTAATAATTGTAACATTGCTGTTCTTTCTAGGACATGAAGGTTGTGATGCTGGAGGATCTGGCTGCTCATTTTAAGATCAAAACACAGGTAATTATATGTCCAAAAATGATATAATGCAATTATATCTGAGATATGCAAACAAAATATTGATAGACAGCATAAGTCTGTAATTGTATTAATACATAACTTTGTGACTGAATCCTAGAGATAACAGCAAAAGTTGCAACAACATCTGACATTGTCAGATCATGATCATGTTTCATTTAAGCTAAATGGTCATAAAAGACTATGATCACATCATCAGTTATTATTATGTTTGGTTATGTTGTTTGTCGATATTTTGTTTTACCAGACCTCAAATTCGTGGATATAATTCGTGGATCATAATCTATGCCAGCTATATGATGATAGAAAATTAAGACCTTTATTTGTGTCAAGATCCTGAAGAGAGACTGTTATTGTTCTACTGAAATAGCATTTTAGTTTCTTTCTTTTTCAGATAATTGGTCAAAATCGCTTTGAATTTTATTACATATTTACATCTAATGCTTAATTTAAATAGATATATTGTTCATCCTAAGATAAATATTTGATTCAAAAGCCTTCATTCTTTATTCCAGGATGCTGTAGATAGAGTTAAAGAGATGGTGGAAAGTGGACAGCTGACGGGTGTCATGGACGATAGGGGCAAATTTATCTATATCACCATGGACGAGATTCATTCCGTAGCCAAATTTATCAAGCAGAGAGGACGAGTTTCAATAACAGAACTAGCTGAATGTAGTAATAGACTCATTAACTTGAATCCTGACAATAGTAAAACATTCTCAAAGTTGGTAGGAGACTCAAAAGAGGAGGTTCAAGTGGAAAGCTGAATATTTCAAGATTGTGGTGTATGGCTTATTACGGTGCCGGTGTAACGTGACAGAAAGTCCCTCATGATAGAGAGTCTGCTTCCCATTCATTTGTACAAGTAAGCCTTGCCCTAGATTTTGACCCACTTTGGTCAGGCTAACCCTAACTATTATAACTGAATGGAGGGTGGACTTTTGTTATACGGACTCTTGGTTCGTTACACTGGTATTATACCTTCCAAGCGTGAAGAATTTTCTTCTGTGCCCTTCTTTATGTTATTGAGTCTTTCCATTACACAAGACTGATCTCTAGCTGAGAAGTATAACACAGCACACAAAAACATTAAAAAGGAAAACATTCACAGTTTGAAAGAAAGTAAAACTGGGATGATCATCGTTTTCATTGAAACATTTTCTTAAGAAGTGGCACCATTGTTATGCATAATGCGTTTCAGTATACTTTAAGTAAAAAAATGATTCATCAACCAGATTATTAAATTATACATTTAATAAATAATTGAGATAGGTTTACACATTGATAATAATTTGCATACGGTTCTGGAAGCTTCAAATATGATAATCTTATTAGTAACAATTTAAGTCATATAAGTATCATCATGAAGTGTTCCGTCAAGTGCATATCAAACGCTGTACCCGTTTACGGTGTTTAGGAACCTTGGAATCCCCTACCCCTTTTCAATGAATCCGTCACTGTATTCATAGTTGAAACGCCGCCTGTTTCGGAGGAAGGGAGGGTCTTCCCGCACCCCCCCTCAGCATGCATCGCCCATAAATATTTTACATGATTATCATGTAAATATCGCCTCCTTTTCCCTCGTGTCCTTTTTATTAAACCTTTACGCGTAAATAGCTCTGCCACAGTATTTTCTAAAAACGTGAAAAGATCGATATTGAAACTCTATTTACTGGTGATAAAGTGCACATAATGTCTCGGATTAGTAACAGCGATAATATCCTTGGCTACGAGATAACAGAATGCCGAGAGCAGATTTTCACTTATGAAAGCTGACATGGTATGGNCTTCAATTGGTATTACCTGTTGAGCATAATTAAAATTTGATGTTGAATTTGCAGTTTAACATAATGTACTTTTGCATCAGAATTAACAGTAGCCTATTTTGTGCATGGTTATTTCCTGCTTTTTGTCTGTACATTTGACAGCTTTGCTGCCTTGTTTGTTGATGTGTTTTTCTAAAAGTTATAAACCTAAAGCTTTTAAGCAGGTGACTTTTTCAATTTCATATTCTTATTTTGTGAGTTGCTGTTTTGAAGTATATTGGTACAAACAAATTAAAACATGTTCATGTTCGTTTTAGAAATCAAGTTTCAATTTTGTTTTAAAAAAGTGATGCATATTGTAAAAATAAATTACTATGCTTCATATATAATTTTTTAAATCATAAAGAAGGTCAATAACAAAACAAAAAATGTGATATATATCTAAAATATTTTATCACCTGATTTATTCTTTGTATTAATTCCCTTCAGATTATAATGAAGATATGGACGAGGAAGACATATTTGATCAAATAGCACAACCAGAAGGAAAAGTTGGTGCCAAGAAGTTGAGGAAGCTCCAGGACAAGGCTGAAAAGAAAAGTCAGAGAGAGGTAAAATTTCTTTTTGTAAACAAAATAAGTTTTCATTATAGTGGTGCATGAGGTTAAAAAAAAATAGTAACATTCCCCACTAAAGTTGTGTTGTTTGTGCACATTCAAATTATATTTATATGATTTATTCCATACATGTTTTCTCCTTTGCAGGCAGAAGAACGAGAAAGGCAGGAAAGAAAGGAAAGGGAGCAGAAATTAGAAGAACTGAGAAAGAAAGAAGAAGAAAAGCGTCTGGCAGAAGAGAAAATCAAGGTGAAAACCTTATTATGAGTTTGTTACATTTTGTCACATAAAATGAAATTAAAGCAAACACAACACATGATATCGGTTCCCACAAATTAAACCAACTTTGGCTTTGAAATACTGTGTTCACTGATAACAGGAAGAAGAAGAGAAAAAAAGAAAAGAAGAGGAAGCACAGAGAGAGCATGAAGAGTACTTGAAAATGAAGGAACAGTTCTCTGTGGATGAAGAAGGATTGGAAGAAATGAACTTCGAGACTAATGTGAGTGTTCCATACCACATTCAGTTCTACATAGTAAAGGATTAATCCAAGCCATTAGTAACAAGGACTTGTGATTTTATCTGTTAAATCCACCCTTGAAAAATTATTATAAAGCGTTTAATGAACTTAAAAATTCCAAAGTAAATCATGAGAATGTCTTATTAAAGGTTGCTTAATTTAGTAATCTACTGTATCTTATGAAAAGTACTCCTACATAAAGGTGGATGTGTTTACTAACACCCCATTTCCATTTAGATTTTTAGATCAATCTATCCCTGTGGGGAGTCTCACTAGATTACTGTCAGCTTGGCCGGCTTAAGCATCTGTCCCGCCTACTAAAAGCTGTAAGGGGGTAATTAACTATGGTGCCCGCTCAGCTGACTGCAATTTAGCGTGAACCCCCAGGGAGTTAGGTCGATCTAAATTTTAATCTCTAGATCGATCTAAATCTCCGGGAAAGCACCCTTATATGATAATTCATTTTTTCCATCAGGAGGAGTCCTTATTACAAAGTTTTGTCAACTATATAAAGGTGGGTGAAAATTTTTGAATTTCCATTTCATAATGACTATTATTGTTAAAGGTCTTTATGATCAATTATATTTCATTACATAATATGTTTTCTACTTGTTTTAAATCTTTTCCTCTAAAGAAAATTCTAGAGGAATGTTTGCTATATTGTAATAGTTGTAACATTGCTGTTCTTTCTAGGACATGAAGGTTGTGATGCTGGAGGATCTGGCTGCTCATTTTAAGATCAAAACACAGGTAATTATATGTCCAAAAATGATATAATGCAATTATACCTGAGATATGCAAACAAAATATTGATAGACAGCATAAGTCTGTAATTGTATTAATACATAACTTTGTGACTGAATTCCGATGTACCTAGAGATAACAGCAAAAGTTGCAACAACATCTGACATTGTTGTCAGAATGATCATGTTTTATTTAAGCTAAATGGTCATAAAAGACTATGATCACATCATCAGTTATTATTATGTTTGGTTATGTTGTTTGTCGATATTTTGTTTTACCAGACCTCAAATTCGTGGATATAATTCGTGGATCATAATCTATGCCAGCTATATGATGATAGAAAATTAAGACCTTTATTTGTGTCAAGATCCTGAAGAGAGACTGTTATTGTTCTACTGAAATAGCATTTTAGTTTCTTTCTTTTTCAGATAATTGGTCAAAATCGCTTTGAATTTTATTACATATTTACATCTCATGCTTAATTTAAATAGATATATTGTTCATCCTAAGATAAATATTTGATTCAAAAGCCTTCATTCTTTATTCCAGGATGCTGTAGATAGAGTTAAAGAGATGGTGGAAAGTGGACAGCTGACGGGTGTCATGGACGATAGGGGCAAATTTATCTATATCACCATGGACGAGATTCATTCTGTAGCCAAATTTATCAAGCAGAGAGGACGAGTTTCAATAACAGAACTAGCTGAATGTAGTAATAGACTCATTAACTTGAATCCTGACAATAGTAAAACATTCTCAAAGTTGGTAGGAGACTCAAAAGAGGAGGTTCAAGTGGAAAGCTGAATATTTTGAGATTGTGGTGTATGGCTTATTACGGTGCCGGTGTAACGTGACAGAAAGTCCCTCATGATAGAGAGTCTGCTTCCCATTCATTTGTACAAGTAAGCCTTGCCCTAGATTTTGACCCACTTTGGTCAGGCTAACCCTAACTATTATAACCGAATGGAGGGTGGACTTTTGTTATACGGACTCTTGGTTTCGTTACACTGGTATCATACCTTCAAAGCGCGAAGAATTTTCTTCTGTGCCCTTGTTTATGTTATTGAGTCTTTCCATTACACAAGACTGATCTCTAGCTGAGAAGTAGAACACAGCACACAAAAATATTAAAAAGGAAAACATTCACAGTTTGAAAGAAAGTAAAACTGGGATGATCATCGTTTTCATTGAAACATTTTCTTAAGAAGTGGCACCATTGTTGTGCATTATGCGTTTCAGTATACTTTAAGTAAAAAAATGATTCATCAACCAGATTATTAAATTATACATTTAATAAATAATTGAGATAGGTTTACACATTGATAATAATTTGCATTCAGTTCTGGAAGCTTCAAATATGATAATCTTATTAGTAACAATTTAAGTCATATAAGTATCACCATGAAGTGTTCCGTTAAGTGCATATCAAACGCTGTACCCATTTACGGTGTTTAGGAACCTTGGAAACCCCTACCCCTTTTCAATGAATCCGTCACTGTATTCATAGTTGAAACGCCGCCTGTTTAGGAGGAGGGGAGGGTCTTCCCGCACCCCCCCCCCCCTCCTCGGCATGCATCGCCCATAAATATTTTACATGACTATCATGTAAATATCGCCTCCTTTTCCCTCGTGTCCTTTTTATTAAACCTTTAAGCGTAAATAGCTCTGCCACAGTATTTTCTAAAAACGTGAAAAGATCGATATTGAAACTCTATTTACTGGTGATAAAGTGCACATAATGTCTCGGATTAGTAACAGCGATAATATCCTTGGCTACGAGATAACAGAATGCCGAGAGCAGATTTTCACTTATGAAAGCTGACATGGTATAGGTCGTTAGCTTAGTCTTCATCATCCTCTGTATCTGTCTCTTCTTCTGTGTCCACATGTCGTTTCCTTCTTTTCTTCTTTTTCCTCTGTTTTTTATAAAGATCATTTAGATATTTTTCTAAAATGAAATTATTGTCAGTGTTCTCGTCTTTCGGTTCGTCCAAAACACGACCGCTAATATTATACTGTCCATTGGCAGCAGTGACCGTTACTTCAGCTTTTCGAGCGTGGCCATATTTTTGTTGTAGCTCGGAAATCACAAAATCGGGTAACTTTGATGCGTCTCCAAATTCTACTTGGGCCAGTTGTCCGAAGTCCAAAGTTCCTTTAAATGTAAAGTTTTGATGAATAGGTGGTAGGTGTAATGACTGACGCTTCTGCTCATTAAAAGGGGCCACATCTTTTTCTATCCACGACTGTGCATTGTAAGCCATGTTTCCATGATTGCCGAATGTGAATTCTTTGGGCGGACCAGGCAGGGGTTCCCCGCTTGGTCCATAATAATGGTGTTTTGAAGAACTCTTCTCTTTTTTGGATGACGCAGATTGACTATCATGTAAAACAATAACCGACTGCTGAGGGTGATGTTTCGAAAATTGGTACGGATATCTAGAATGCCACCCACCATATCCGAATCCAAAATTTGGAGTAAACTCGACAGGAATAACGGCTGCATTTTGTTGACTAAGAGGTCCCTGAAGAACTAAAGGCGGAGGATTCTGACCAACGAAGCCCATCGGCCCTGATAGGCCTACATAGGGAGCTGTATACCCGTACGGTGGGATGAATGATGGTTGGGTTTGGTTCATCGTATTTTGTGTAAATCCATTGATGCCGTATTGATTGTAGAGCTGGGGCTCTGACGTAGAGGTCCGTCTAGTGGAACCTTGGCGCTGGGAAACACTAGGCGAAGGTGTAGTAACTTTGAGAACGTTCACGCTGGGAGGTTGAAGATAATTTCTCTGCGAAGAAGAGCCTGGGTTGTACGTTCCGATTTGACCAGGTGAAAGTTCGTAGAGAAACCTATCACCGTGCTTCGAGTGGACATTTCTTCGCACGGAATTCCGTGAGGAATAGGATGCCATTTTCCTTCTATGTTGAGGAAAATCCTTTCGAGTTGTCTTTATGTAACTTATCTTAAACGCGACGGCATCGCCAGGAGATTAATGGAAATTATGTCCAAACAAAACACTCCTCATACACTTTGGCGATATTGTAAGTATATCATATCATCACAATATTGAACGGTTTTGACGCGATTTCCATCTTTTACATTTGAACTACAGAAACAGAGCTTGCAGTTGTCACATGCTTATACAAACTTGATAGCAAATGAACGATAACTACTAAGGAGACCAAGGTAAACTTTTTGATGGTTGCTAAGACTAAGAATGCCTTACAAATGGAAATATAATGATTCGCCAACGTTTACTTTTCTTTCATAAAAGAAAATGTTCGATCTTCATTTAAAACATTTATTAGCCCACAGGTCCAGTCCTTTTAATAACAATTTCTCTAGTTTCCTAGTGTATTCCCACGTATCTCCCTTCCATTTCATCCCCACTTCCCTCCCCAAGAAACTAAACACAAAGAGAAGCAGGCAAAATGAACAAGAATCAAACGAAAGAAGCATAATTGAACGGCGAATCTAATATAAGCTATTCTGCAGTTCTGCAAGTTACCAAAAAGAATTAGTATGGAAATGCTTGATTTTCGATTTTTTCTCTCTTTTTTTTTCTCTTTTTTTCTTCTGTTTAATTTTTTTTTTTTTTTTT